AACCGGCCGGATCCGAACCGACGTCTTCTATCACACCGCGGCAGACGCTATACCAACTAAGCCACGGAACGAAGCAGCGGACCTTACCGATTTTTCTGTGCTTGTTGTCATGTCTTTGTATTTGGTTTTTCAACGACTTTTTAGCTGCAGCGTCATCTATGAGAAATTTAAGTATTTCGTCTCCTAGTTAGACCTTTACAGCTACCAGCCCCGGCTAGAATATAATATAATAAACTACAGAAGCCTTAAACAAAGTTAATAGAAGCTGAATGGTGCCCTGGGTTTGTAACGTGACGAAAGTTCAGAGGAAATTATTGTTTATACTGGTATGATCAAAAGGCATGAAGTTAAGCCATAACAAAAAAAACTGAGTTAATTAACACATACCACAGACTATTGCACTGGTAACTCGAACACAAATTATTTTTTGTGAAACGTGCCATCTTCATCATCATCCCCGATTTCGGGAACTTTTTTGTCAGTTTTACTATTTTCTCGCGTGGCATTTTGGAGAAGGAAAGAAGAAATCTACTTTATTTTTTGTAATGAAGTACGTAGTTAAGTTAAGAAACTGACTACTACATAATTATTAGTTTCTTTTAAGAGGGAGCAGAGGAAAAATTCCTAATCTTCGATTTGATTTTAGAGGGGTATATCCACTTTAAAGTTAAAAATAAAAAAAAATTGTATGAGTAAATACACGATATACTCAAGCATAGACATTAATCAGAAACATAAAACAATAAAGTTTCCTCGATAGATAAAAATCACGAAATTACCTCTAATTTTCACATTTTTTCGATTTATCCTCGAAATGCTACAGGTTATTAGGACAAAAATTAGATAATTAATTATATTTATGCATGATCGACAACTGTCACTACGGATTTTTTTTTAATCCCTTTAGTTTTAGAGTTATTCCGCTAAAACGAATTTGGTAGGTACTTTTAATGCGCAAAATTCAACATCTCCTGTTGCATGTCACGCGACGTCAAAACTTTTTTGGCATGCTCCTTTATGATTTTATTTTCAGACTTAGGCCGCTATAATAATTTGAACAATCTAATGAATATATTTTATTCAAAATTGTAATTAAGACATTTGAGTACGCCAACGAATTCTGTAAACTACGATTTTGCGATTGTTCTTTAATTAAAATATTTTAGAATTTAAGTTTTTTGGCGATGTTACTGCATGTAATTTCATCACAAATTTGTGTATCCTACACAGTCCATTAATATAATTTAGATGTGTACAGTGTGATGTCACAGATTACCAGTTACTACGTAACAGATACACCACTCTCAAATAAAATCGAAAATATCTACGCGATAATAGCTTACTAAATTAGACTAATGAAACCAGGCGCTCATTTCGAGGAAAAAGGAACCTAAGCAGAGAGGTGAAAATAACGTTGCCCGCCGTATGCAGTCGTGCGGAACCGAATGCTGGGGTTGTACAAGGATTGTAATGTAAATGAGACTTGTCTGAGCGCTTGCACGAGTGGCGACATACCCAGTGGTAGGCACTTATCGCGTAACCTCGAATGAGTGACGAAGCCCTGGTGATGTGATTTAATATGAAACCAGCGAGCGTTACGAATAATGTAATCAATTTCACGTTTTCAAGTGTGATTTATCTACTTCAATGTATTTGACAATTTTCATCTGAAATTTTCAATTAATATTCAGTTCAACATACGTTTACACATTATGGAGATTAAATTATTATAATTTAGCTACTTGAATTTGTATTAATGCACATTGTCCCAACGTTCACTGTCCACGTTTCTATGAAGTGGCAAATTGGTAACAGCCACATATTCACGCTTCCCTAAATTAACGTGTTAATTTAATGCTTGAGCGGTTCGGACATGTAGAAAGGATGTGTGTAAGGTATTCCCAAGACTGAAAACGTCAGTCCCAAGTCTCGAAAATGCCTAGAATCTCGAAATTTTCTATATCGAAATTCCATATAAATCTACAAATGGATTTTTTTTCTTGGTTTAGTTGCAGTGCGACTCAGAGCTTTAAATCGCGAAGATTTGAGGAACACTCCCACTGCGCCCGATACTATAAGATTTAAGTTGACAAGTTCCATGTGCCCGTAATTTCACCAGCACCCTAACTTATCAAACCCGAAACTCAGTAATGCTCACTTTACTTGGCTTGGCGGCAGAAATAGGTAAGGTGGCAGTACTCCCCTGGACGAACTGGAGATGAAGTTCATAGGTACTACCTTCTTGGGCAATAACAAAAACATAAATTTTATATTAAAGAACTTTATTTTAGGTTAAATCTTAACCTGAATCATACAATCACACAATTAACTTAACCACATACAAAATATTAGTATTATTTGGGGCGACTTCACATATTAATACTGGATATGAAAATATAACTTTTTTATTCTGCATTACCGTTTTAAGATTCTAAGTAGGATGTCCGGAAACAAAAGTGTTGTTCATTTAAATTAGCTCGATGAAACAAAAGATAGATACGTCAGCATCAAATCGTTCAAAGTATTAAAAATATGTTTTAAAAAGTCAACATTACCGCAATAAATTTACGGTAGTTGTTCATTGAAACTCGTTTTAGAATTGAACCGTGACAATTACATACACTATGATGATTTCTTCCAAGTATTTACCATTTACCTACTATATCATATTGCTATATAAAGATTGACAAATTAATCTTGGACTCCCAAATGGTTGCGATAACATCGAGTTTCTACAACAATGTTTGTATTTTTGGTACGATTAGTTTTTTTTAAATTCCATAACATGGCGACAGAGTCCAAATTGAACTTGACAGTCTTTACATATTTTTATACTGCTTGTAAGTATATTATATCTTCGGTAGCGGTGTTGGGAAGATGAAGACAAAGTTGTGCACGATTTTCGAAATAAACCTATATTCAGATCTCAAAACATTGCTCTCTTTAATGAATTCAATGAAAAGAATGAAAGTATAATGACAGCAATAGCAGCGCCGCTTGCATGTGTGCGCGCCCAACGCGCGCCGTGTGCGGACGCACACTTTCGCATAAACTCAAGTTGCTCAGCGCGGGTTGTCACACACACCATACATTACAGAACTAAAGCATCAGTGTTGCTCAGTGTTTACAAATGACATCAAATAGTAGACATGTTAATTTTATTTCATTTAAAAATCTTTTCATTAAATTAGCACTTCCATTATGGGTAGATGGCGCTAAACTTAAACAAAATAAAAACGCAATAAGCGCCCATCTAGTGGATTTGCTTGTTATCACTAGAAATTACAGTAACTTTGATAAATTGCAACTTGTCAATATAAAACAATTAGTTACAAAAATAGCTATTTGGTACTCGTCGCGACATCTGGTGTACTAATATTTTAATTTCATTTATTGTCGTGTTTATGATTGCTTGAATAAGAGTTCTTCAAATCCAGAATTGTTCATCGTCTCATTTCTATTTCATAATCATATCAATATGTAAGTACTGCATTTGACAAAGGTTACTTCAATACAGCACGAGATACTGTGTATTTTAATTTTTCAAACTATGTTTACAACCAGTAGGTCCAACTAAAATAATAATGTGACAACCCTACGCTTCTCGCGACGTGTCAGCATTGACGCGCCGAGCAGGCGGGAGTTGTGCTACTTCGTATTATATGGTTGTAGTGTTTAGTCTATGCTTGAAAAACATAGAATTTATACAAAAAAATTATTATAAATCTAATATAAATAATATTCAGAATGAGGAATACCATTACCATGGACCTATAACTCAAAAGAGGACTACAAATCTCCATACCACAGATCGTAACTCTAAAAATGGTCAAAATTCCGTCTTATAACCTAGATGGCGCTGATCAATAGCTTGGAAGTAGTTTATATTATCCAAATGGCCGTGGATATCAATTAATTCCACTTTAATATGAAATGTAAGAATATGCGTGTCAATAGATGGTTTTGTGTGTTACAAACTAATTTATAAATTAACGCTTCCTAATAAGTACCTATATCAGTAAGCATTAATTTATAAATTAGACAGCGTTAAGCCTAAACAAAATAAAAGAATAGCCGGCACGGTCCCTAAAAGTCTATGCAGTAAGCGCCATCTAGTAGATTTGTTTGTTATCACTAGAAATTAGAATAGCTTTGATAAATTGCAGCTTGTCAATGTAAAACAAATTAGTTACATACATAGCTCGTCGCGGCATCTGGTGTACCAATTTGTACTAAATATCCGACTACGCTGCGTTGTATCGCGATTAGCACTCCTCTTGAGTTATATAATATGTTGATTTGCATTCTCCCCACATTTACAGAGGTATTCTATTCTATATCCGAAACTGAACCCAAATCACTAATAAAATAAATTAAAAAATACATTTCCTTAATTCTTATTTTTTATTCAATTGCGGTAACCAAGTTTGATCCAAAGGTCATTGACTTGCACTACACGTGCCACAGATACCGGCAACCTTTTGGATAATTACCTAAGCACAGTACGAGCGGAAAATATGCATTTTCTATCTATTTGGTGGCAGGGTACGAATAGAGGCGGGGGAGCATAGTATCGAGCGTGTGATTGGTAGATCATCTGTCCACCTTGAGTATTGCGTCTGCGTTCATCGCGTATACGTTCTAGTTTCTCACGAAATGCAACGTGGTCTGCCACCTGCTGTGGAGCTAGGTACGTCTAGCGCTACTTTCACGTAACCTAAAGTTGGTAAGTACCAAATCTAAGTTACAAAAAATCTTTTTTCAGTCATATTTTGTAACTCATGTAAATAATTAGTAAATTAGAACAATACTAGTACATAAACATAATTTAAAAAACAGGTAAATAAGCGATTGAGAAAGATTACGTATCGCTCGGTGAAGCGAGTGGCGGGGTCACTGTCCTCTGCGGTGAGTACACTTGCGGGACAATTTTACAAAACTTTACTAGATACAATTAGGCAGAATTTTGAACAGAATATTTTTTAAATATTTTTAGATGATTTAACATTATTTCTTTCATTAATTTCTTAAATATGGCGAGAATGCAAATCAACACCCTGTATATTGGTCCACGTTATTATTAAATGTCAACTAAGGTAGTAAACCAGAGATTGGAAAAAACTGGATACATTTACCTTAACTTGAAGAAAGTAATTACACCACACACAAGTATGGATAATACCTCCCTCGAAAAACGCGAAATTATTGTATAGTATTTTTGTTCAATTTTTTTTTTATTTGCAACTCAGAAATTATTAATAAAAATGAAACTATTTCTATTTTTTGCATTTTTAACTAGAGATTTCAAAGGGAGGTATTAAGCACTCTATGTGTATTACTTGAAGTTTTACGATTATAATGAAATTGAAAAAAAATTGCTAAATATTAATGTTGTCCTAGCGCCCTGCGCTTATAGTTTATCTTTATTGAATAATAAAATAATTATTGTTAACAGCTACTGCTCATCATCGGACCGTGATCCCTGCGCCTGATCTCAAATGTTGTTCATGTCGTAGAGAACCTGCGCAATCGTCCGAGCAGCTTCCACTGTGCTGAGCGCAATCGATGCTAGATGAGACTCGTACGAACGCAGTTGTCTGTAACAAGCAAGTATTTTAAAACAAAAACGGTAATGATATATGGAGACAAGCCTATGTTAACTTGTGTTTTTACGTCTATGTTTTTTGTAAGAAACCAACTCGTTTTTGTAAAATTCATTAATTAAAGTTCATTAGTCGAAACATGTGTTAACACCCACTACGCCACATCCTTCTTAATTGCAATTCGAAAGATCTGTTCCCCCCTTACAGCACGCCCTTCCGATGGAAGTTAACTTAATTGTTATACGGGTTAATATGCATGCATTTTATGTTTCAATACAAATAATCTCCGTACAAAGTACTAAAAAAACCGATCTCAAAAGTTCGTGGTATTACATCTATTTGCCAAGTTTTTTTGAAATTGATTTCCGAAAAGTGCGCGAAACAGGTTTCAACCCCTAATTTGCCACCCTTCAAATTTAAATGGGACCACGATTGAGGTACCATCTTTCCAACAAAAAGAGGAATCAACAAAATCGGTTCACAAATACTGGAGTAATCGCGTAACATACATATAAAAAACGGTCGAATTGAGAACCTCCTTCTTTTTTGAAGTCGGTTAAAAAGTGCCAAATGGCTTGTCTATTAATTTCGATTATCAATGAAATTGTTTTTTTATTATCGTTTCACAAAACAACAATTGACTAGTTTGATAGGCACTTTTTTCAATCAACTTGCTATTGAAAATCGTCAGAAAAATCTTGATGAAATTATCCCGTGTGCAGCGAGACATAACTGTTACGTAAACTGCCACTCCTCCCGCACCGCGCAACTATCTCAGGAGCCGACTCAGTTAAGCGGTGGGCCTGTAGTAGCACAACTTGTATGTGTGCACAAATTCGCGTAATGCCGCGGTGCACTCGCGTTGCATTGAACGGATCGTCTCACGCGTCGTTCATTATAGAATTGAAGCGTTCGCTCAATGTTTAAAAAATGACATCAAATAGTAGCGGTGTATGTGGTTGTTTGAACAATAGTACTTCAAATTCAGAATAGTTCAGCATTACATTTCTATTTTATAATCACACTTCCATAATCGAGATACAAATACTGCATTAACGAAAGTTATTTCAATATAGCACGAGAATAGTGACTAAAATAATAATGTGACAACTTCACGCTCCGAGGAAAGTGCAGATGGTGACGCGCCGAACAAACGTAAACGGAAGTTCGAACGTCTAATTATAATTTAATTTTAATTAGTCTGCGTTTTATGAAGACGGAGTAAAAGGACAGTTTATTGAGCAAAAGTGTTGTCCACTTGCGAGCAGCTGGTGATTGCAGTCGATAAATATTCTATCGACTATCGAATGAATATTGGTCACGCTTATGGAATAAATACCCGCATTTGTTTCATTTGAATCATCATCGACCCATTCATTATTCATCCAATTACTGAGCACAAGTACATTTGAATTGTAATTTTCATAAGTTCATACATGCATACACTATATTTAGCACTATGTTTGTGGAAAATACAAAGAGAAGACATATTTTAAAGTTTTTTATTACCATAGTGTATATGAATAAAATTTGATTTCGATACTAGTAGGCCAACAGTCAAAATAAGAATAAATAACGTAATTAGTAATCTCTGGAACGTTGTAACATTCACATTACAGTCATTTATGGCAAAATTTTATCTTCTTTCACATTCTATCGATAAAAATATGGACAACAACTACATAAAATTTTAATTTTATGAAAACTGGCAACCCTACAAATGTATATTTTACTCCGTCTTAAAAAAAGAGATACTATAGATCTGGTCAAAAACTTGCCTGTTATCTCTAAATATACAAACTGGTGAATTTTATCAATATGTTTACAATGCTCAAAATATCTATGATTTTAAAGTGTATAAAAAAAAGATTGAAACAAAATAATCAGAAAGTGCACCTTGAAATAATGGTGTATTAATAATAATGTTGATACAAATATTTTGAGATACGTAAGTACAAAATTTATGTAGCTAGTGGGACCGTTCACGTAATTCCGCTACAGACTGTACAATAGAGGGGTAAATAAGGGTCACGTTCGGGTACAACGCGTAACTATAAGAAACTTAGATGCGCTTGAGTAATTCCACAGAGTGGATATACGTGAGCTCAAAATGCTACCTCAGCATTTGATAACGAAGTTTGTTTTGATCGGAATTCCGTGTCCAATCTTTAGCTAGGAACCGGAAAGTTATCAATATGGAGTTGGCGATTTTTTCTGATTTGGTAAATTCTTAGTTAAGCCAAGTAAGATAGATAGATAAACTTTATTTACTATTACGACGAAAAATACAGATTATACACAAAAAGAAAAATAAAAATACTTTTGTCATAGCAGTGAATATAGGTGTAATAAAGTGTATTCTCTCTGTACGTTATATATACTACGCATTTACATCGATCATTGGTTATTTTATTACATATAATTATAAGTCAACTCATACCGCACACTGAGAATGACAGTGACACAATGCAAAATGTTTGATTTTGAGCAATAAGCAAATAAAGTTCTGAAAATTGTGATAATTGCAATTTCTTGCTCAACGAAGATTTTTGAATACGGTTTTTAACTAAAATAAAAAGGAACCTACATGATTTTAGAAGTATTATACAAATGTTCACCTACCATAATAAAATCAAGGTATTTTTGAGAATTTCGTTCATGTAAATTAACAATTTTTATTATGCAATATCGTCACAAAGGATTCATAGAAATAAATTATACCATGAAATTTAATTTTAATATTCGAAAATAAAAGCATAAATTACTCTATAACTTATCTAAAAACCACCGTAGATATGGTTCCCTGTACTATGTTAGTCTTAATGCAAAACTACTGCAAAACGACACTATTTTTTTTTTTATTGTGACTCGGCAAAATGACTGCACCGCGCTTGATGGAAAGTGCGAATACAGTCCAGAGATGAGAGTAACGGATGGAAAACACAAATATCTTCACTCCGTCACTATCATTTTGCCGGTCTGGCCAAATTCTTCTTCACACTACGTTTGTTACTACTTCACACTACACTACGTTCTTCACACTATTCAAAAAATGTCGTTATCCTTCACGCAGTTATTAATCAATTGTTTCACAACTCAGCGATCTCTATCACTACCAAAAAAATGTCAGAATCGCGCCGTCTCCTATGCCCCGTTCCCCTTGTACAACATAAGGTCATTACGTCATACAGCAAATTCTAGGCAAACAACGTACACGGGGGTATTTGCATTATAAAGTTCGTACTCTGAAATCCAAGATGACGTTAATAATAAAAAGTGTTTTTGTACAATGACGTTATCATTCGTCGTTATTAAGCAGCAGTAGTAGAGATCCTTGTGAAAGAGTTCGTCCAGGGAAGTACCGCCATCTTACGTATTTCTGCCAAACAGTAATGTTAGCATTACTGCGTTCCGGCTTATAAGGGTAAAGGGGTGCTGGTGACAGGCACAAGGGACTTGCCACGAATGCGGCGCTGCAGATGACACCGCGCAGCACACCCTAGAGGTGTGCAGCCGGTGGGATGAGCAGCGCCATACTCTGACGGGGACAATAGGGCAGGACCTCTCGCTGCCGGGCGTGGTTGCCGCCATGTTCGGTAGCGAGGAGTCCTGGGAGGCGGTGGCTTCCTTTTGCGGAGAGGTTATGTCGCAAAAGGAGGCTGTGGAGCAGGTGCGCGAAGACGCGTCAGACGCGCACCCGCTTCGGGGCAGACGTACGGGGAAAAGGCGAAGGTAGTTCGCTGCGCGCCTGATCCCCAAGTGAGGCCAGCGGGCTCTGGACAGGGATTGCGGAGCCTGCATTGCACGGCCTCACTCGTCAAAAAAGGCACAAGGGACATGCCAACTTATGTATCAGAGAAATCTTTGCGATTTAAAGCTCTGAGAGGCACTGCAACTGTTATGTATAGACGTGTAGCTTACCATCAGGCGCACGACTTGTTCGTTCCATCTGTTGATATTATAAAAGAATCCTTGTCGGTGTGTGATATATGGACTTAGTTTAGATTATTTCATTGATAAATTGTTCTTGCTGCCTGGACAACCCCGTGGAATCAACATAAAGGTTACAAATTAAAAGTTCGATATTGTCGCAACTTCTTCTATTTCACTTACCGTCTTCCAGTATTGGAGTAGATCACGATGTTTCTGAGTATAAGAGCTGCTGTCAATCTTATGCTTTTGGTCACCGGGCCTTCGTTTTCATCCTGCGAATTGATACATAATAAATCTCTGTAGTTCAGCCTCATACAGCCTGTGTACTCGCGCTACAACTGTCGCTTTGAATGACTGTGTTGCCTGCCACAAATTATTGACCATAAAAGGACATCCCCGACATAGTATGCGAGGACGAAAACTAACTGTTGATTTTATTGAATATCATGATGTTTATACTATGACATTATACATTTTTTTCATCGAGTATATAACCAGAAATAGAGACGAAATAAGGACCATCCATCCCTAGCAAATCAGGCAAATGGGCCCTATATCACTTTAAAATATCAACTCTCGTTTGCACTGAAATCACAAATTAGAAAACCGAAATAGTACAGCACCAACAACTGACCTGTGTGTAACGTAATAAAGATAATATCTCTAACTATGTGGCTGTATATGGCTGTATATATGGGGCTGTTCCATTCGGTGGTGTGGGGAAAACAGCTAACATCTAAAATATTAAATATGTAATTTTTTAATTTTCGTCCATTATAGCAAAGCTCAAGTTAAACTGCTCGATTTGAAGTGAAACAATTGACGACACCCGTCAATTGTTTCGAATTCGGGCTAGCCAATCGGAGCGCAGTTGTCATTGGCAGAATAGTTTTTCAAACAAATTAGATGAAATTTCGTGTCTATTTCTGGTTATATGTATACTCGATGTTTTTTTGTGAAATAACTCCAATACTATGTTAGAATTAATTAATTCAAAGATCGAACACAAAGAAAAATTTCGTCTGTCGGGAGTTACAGTAGAGCCCCTTGTGAAAGAATTTGTCCAGGGAAGTACAGCCATCTTAGCTATTTCTACCGCCAAAGCCAAGCAATAATGTGAGCATTACTGCGATCCGGTTTTGAAGGGTAAGGGTGCTGATGAAATTAAAGGCACATGGGATTTGGCAACTTATGTCTGAGGGTGATGGGTGCAAAGGCAGTGCACCTCAGATCGTTGCGATTTAAAGCTCTGAGTGGCATTGCAACTGTTATAGAGAGGCGTGTAGCTTAACACCAGGCGCGCAACTTTTTCGTCCCATCACTTGTCAAAAATAAGACAACGAATTTAGGGATTATCATTTAAAAATCCGGACACTGTATAGTACATTTCATTAGTCAATAACTTCGTTAATTGTTTTTTAAATAGCATAGGGTTTTTGTCAGACCTTAGTACTTTCGATAAATTATTGTAAGTTTATTTAACCTTAAAAGAACATATTAGTATCTACTTTACAGACTTCCAGTTCAATTGAATACGTCCGGTTTTCACCAAGACCAAAGGGCAACTGATAGAATTCCGAAGACAGCCGAAAAACGAACTTTTCCGATAGAAACTTAAGAAAATAATTGCACTGCATATAATTTAAGCAATGCTTTAAATCGGTCACATTTACTTCGAACAACTAGAGCAGCGCGAATACTCAGACTGCAAAAGGCCTAAGACTAAGTTTAGATTCTAGACTACTTTCCACACATAGCATTTATGAATTATTCAAAACTTTTCAAATATCAAATTTCGACGGAGATAGTGCAATTACGCGTAACTAGCATTAGATTATAGGTATTCATTCCGGTTATTTAGTGACCAAATCAAATACGCGTAAATGTCGTGGCAACGTAATTGGCTTGATTTACGGGAGTCCATTGTTATCAGTCCGTAGACAACATAAATTAATTCTTAGTGTGCAAAACTCAAAGTCGTAGCCACTGAAATAACTAAGCATAATGTTAAATCCCTCTACTGTTAAATTTAGTTTATTGCAGTTACGCGCCTTTTACAAATACTACATACGCGGATTTGCACTAACCCCTGACGATTTACAAAAAAATATATATAACGACAAAATTACTTGGTAAAATAATAAAAAAAAACAGAAACTGCGCTACATACCAAAGTATAAAAACTTGACAAACGAAAATTCTATAAATAAAGGTTAACAAGTTCAATTTGCCTGTTGTCATGACGCGGAATTTTGACACATTTATCTCGAGATGCACCACCGGGCCGAGTCTACCACCGGTGATCACGCAACACTTAATTTTTCATATACTAAGAAACACGCCGCTTTGCGAGAAAGGGCTAAAGTTATATATCATAATGTAGCTCAGAAGTTTCTTATTGTGTTAGAAAGTTAAAAAAATCATGGTTAAAATGGATTTATTTTTAATGCACTAACTTATAGCCTCGCACTAGGGAAACCCTGCATCGCGGGTGCTATGGAGACACACATAGACAACCACAAATAACACCCAAACTTACGAGAATAATAAGTGTAGGCTATACAAATATTTGTCCAGACCCGGGAATCGAACCCGGGACCTCTGCGTGGCAGAACAGTATGGTAACCGCGCGGCCACGGAGGCAGTTAATATTATTTGAAAAAAGAACTTAAAAAATGTATATTGAATATCACCATGTTTTGCTACTATGATTTTTATGTAGCAGTAAGTTTTTTTTCGTACATTACCGATCCGCCATATTGGTTTTGTAAGGGGAACAAACATTCCTGCTACATTACCTGGTTTTGTGGCAATTTTTCCTCTCCCAGTACTGATAACTTGGTTATGTACGGGTGATTTTCACAAATACTCCATTAGTTTGTTATTATTATTGATATAAACATCAAAAACAAAGAAAAATTCTTTGGATCTGACTGGACTTCAACCAGACATGTTGCCATGCCGGGGCCAACGCTCTTAACCAACTTTTTTTTTATAATATCAAGTGACGGGAAAGGCAAGTCGTGCGCCTGACGGTAAGCTACACGCCTGTTAATAACAGTTGCAGTGCCACTCAGAGCTTTAAGTCGCAAAGATCTTAGGGGCACTGCCACTGCGCCCGTCACCCTGAGACATAAGTTGACAAGACCCATATGCCTGTAATTTCACCAGCACCCTTACCCTTCAAAACCGGGAAAATGTTTGGTCGTCTAATGCGTCACGACATGGTCACGACAGTTTTCTTAGAAACATAATAGAAGAGAAGATCGAAGGAAAGAGAAACAGAGGAAGACCGAAACGAAGTTATTTAGATCAGATAAAGGAAGAGTAAATGTCGAGTCGTATCAGGAAATCAAGGCTATAGCGCTAGACAGAGATGGTTGGCGATTACTCCACCGACAAGAGCCTAGCTCATACTGCTACAGCTACATTTGCAGCTGCTAGAAGCTGACGAGAGATGTCGCTATATTAATTACTATATTTTAGGTTAAGAGCGGTGGTCCCAGACTCTGGTTGGAACCCAATTGATCGAAGGATTTTTTCTTCGTGTTCAAATAACGAATAGCGGATTATTTTCACAAAAAATTTACGAAAAAAATGCAGTCAAACATCACGATACTCAATAAATAAATACTGAATCATCGTCAACCCACTTATATGTCTGAGTGCTGAGCATGGGTCTCTTCTCAGGCGAGAGTTTCGGCCATAGTCCGCCACGCTGGCTCAATGCGGGTTGGGGACTTCACACACTTTTCCCGAAGATTGTGAACCTTCTTCGACGTGCAAGTTTCATTAAATATCGTAAATTGATTGACTGATTCGAACCTACGGTCACTGCATGAATAAATATTAAAAATTTTGATTCCTACTTGAACGTGTTAAAGAACGTTATTTGTCTATGGACGACACAATTACTGATGACAAAACTCAATTTCAGCGCTATCATTTCATGACAAATTAACTTGTCAACCTTTTTAACTGCCGATTGCGGACTCGTGCCTAAACACAGGCAACCTATCACAAACTCGAATTTCTTTTTTCTAAAAAACGTTTGTACGAATTTTCATTACCCCGAAAACCGAATTATAACGAAACCGTTGTTCTTTCAGAACAAGTTGGATGTATATCGCAAAGACACGATTAGGTTCGGTTAACTTAGGTTTGAAAGAAAAAATATTTACCTCTCAAAATTACTTTCGAAGTTATGAAAATTCAAGGAAACGTTATTTCAGAAAAGTGTCATTTCGATCTTCTGATAGGTAACCTAAATGCAATCTAAATGCATCAACAAATACTAAGTTACATGAATAAAAGCCAATAAAAAGGATAAAACACTGCATCAACACACAGACGCACACAGAAGCTAGTGTACCTCATACATATATATATGCGCACAAGGACAATATTTGTTTGGACAAACGTTGCTTTTCTTTTCTTTATTTTTTATTTTCAAATTTCTTTTATTTTTAACTTGAATAAGCTTTCTAAAGTCCTGGTATGCATATAGTCCGTTTCAAAGATTTTTTTCATTCAAATACGCCTTATTATTTTATTAGGTATTTTTCAAAAACGGCAATCTAAGTGATAAATTAATAATAATAATAGCTGGCTAGCAGCTTGAGACGGTTGAATTTCAGTGGCGTGTCGCTTTCAGTACAAATGCAGAAGGCCGTCCTGCTCGATATGGTACGTATTGTTCACCGGTTCTTGAACCTGAGTACCTGACCCCTGCCGACTGTGCCATTGCGGGTGAATACTGCCTCTTCCATTCAAAAATTCACTCTCTCACTCACTCTTTGTGAAAGAGTTTGCCCAGGCAAGTACTGCCACATTACCCATTTCTACCACTAAGCAGTAATGTTCACATTACTGTGTTCCGGTTTTGAAGGGTAAGAGATGCTGATGAAATTAAAAGCACATGGGACTTGTCGACTTATGTCTCAGGGTGACGGGCGTGGTGGCAGTGCCCCTCAGATCTTTGCGATTTAAGCTTTGAGTGGCACTGCAACTGTTATGGATAGGCATGTAGCTTACCATCAGGCGCACAACTTGTTCGTCCCGTCACTTGGTATTATAAAAAAAGTAGATCTCAAACTAGGAAATTTCTTGTACCGAGTGCCAGAGCAGTGGAATTCACTTTGGAGCAATTCCCAGAACACCCAAACTGGTCGATTTTAAAATTATATTTTTATAGTAGAATGACTTTAATTCCAAACCGCAATTTTATACTGAATTTTCATAATAAATAGCCGTCATTGATACTATAACGTAAAATATTTTAAAAATGCAAATCACATAAGACCCAAAATATCCAATAATGCTACACTTTAATATTCAACCAAAAATTACAGATTGGCGCCTTTGAAAATATACTAATTCATTATTTCATTGACTCTCTCTAGGCTTTAAGCTCCGAAAATGTATACAGAATAGAGAAAATTAGTGTAAAACAAGAAATCTACCAATTAGGGGGCACCACACTGACATGGAAACGCATTAACCCAATCATAAAAGGCTTTATGTCTGTTGAATAAGAGTAAAAAATCACGCGAGTTTCGCATCGACAGTCCGAGTCGAAGCCAAACCCGCCACGTCTTTTTCGCTCTTATTGCATGTACATAAAACTTTATCTAACCGATTTAAGTTGATTCCGCGGTAACAAGTGTGGTGTTCCCGTAAATTTAATCTTTTGTTACTGAATTTCAAATATAGTGCAATTTTATACAAACTCGAAAATTAATGGTGTCGACTCTGTGACGTTCAATTAGGGCATATAAAATACTGTTATCCCTTTTAAACTAACAGAGAAAAAAAGAGATGACAATTATTTTGATATGTCAAAATAGTTTACGTTTACCAATTGGGAGCCACAAAATCGATCCCAATACGACTGCGATAGACTTTAGTTTCCATTGAAACGGACTATAGATAAGTGAGGTGTGATAAGTGGGTCTCACCAACTGCTCCGGCGTGCGACCGAGCTCGGCCCTGTGCTGAGCGAACACACAGGTTAGTGACGTCACACCCCCCGTGAATTAAAATAAACACACCCTCATATGCCAAAACATAACTAAATGGTTTTGAATGGCCATGTCATAACCGCGTCTTTATGAAACAAATAACTTGTTCTTGCCGAGATATTGCGTTTCTGTTAGAGCTTGCCAGAATTGTATAAGCATATGAAGATCACATCTTGTCACACTTGATCACTTTATTCTAATTTCATGTGTGCTGCATTTTTTCTCTCAAAAAGTGTTTCAAATTCAAATTAAATTGATCATGTGTGAGAAGTTCATGGTAATTTTATTACAAGAAATTGAACGTAGTCAAGCAAAAAGGAGCCAATTGACAAAATTATCAAAAAATGAGTGATATGTATTAAACTTTTCCTAAAGTGTAACCTCTTAGACCATCAAAAAAAATCCAACATATAAACATAAATAAATATCTTTGGAGTTACATGACATTATAAGTTTTGAAAATAAAACGAGGGTGATAAACACTTTTTAACTTCAAACTGCCATATCTCGAATGTGACTGGATGTGCATTACATCCTTTTTGTTTAACTACGTCCAATTATTTTGAAAATTCCCAGTCCTGTTGTTTTCATTTTCAAACTCATGTTTTGATTGACGTGTCTCTAAAGGTCTGTTTTAGTAGTTACTTCTTAACTCAGAGGAGTTGTAATGGTAGTAAATTTAGAGCAGTCAAATTGACATCAATTTGGAAATGTACAGAGACGTCATCATCATTTGTCGGAATAGGCTGTTTGTTCCAAAGGAGTAAATAAACGTTTGTGTTGAGAAATAAAAAAAAAATAATCATTTCGTTTACATATAGAGTTTGGAGCAGGGGGCGGTATGCATTCCATGAATATAAAAGTATCTGCAATATCCGCATACTTAAAACAAGCTGCTGCATGTAACATCATCAACCCATGTATACATCCCACTGCTGGGCACCGGTCCTTCCGTGTTATGCTCATTTCAGTGAATTTAAAACTTTAAAACACTCCCCTGTAAACTTGGCGATTTTGACATACGATATTTTACGTAGGGGTCGATATAACAAAAAAAATAAAAAAAAGGACTTCCTATCATGTTACACGAAAACGAACTTAATTACAATAATACAGTTACAAAAAATGCTAAATTGCATCGTGCATACATAAAGAATAAAAATTCAATTGCAAATCTACTGCATTTTTTTACGTGGCGCCATCAGAATTACTTTAAAGTTCAACTTCAGCTTCCTTTTATCCTACAATGGAATAAAAGAATTTTCGCAAATTCGGAATTCGAAAAAAGTTATTAATTAATATTCGGTGGTGTTAACCACTCTATGTCACTCCTGGTATCTATAGTTAAACATTCACGTACTAATTTGGAAGATCCTATTCCGACAATAGTCATCACTAAATTTAGCATAAGTAGTAAGCAGCAACGAATAGATGCACATTAAAAGAGCATCGTCAATTAATATTTCGACAATTAAATTGTTTGTATAAACTGAGAGACCAATGCAGATTATCCGTTGTTGTTTTTTGCAGGTTCTTTCACTATGCTCTTAACCCGTTACGCGTCCTAGAGACACGCGGTGTCTTAACGTCGCGGCTGTGTTTTTTTATATAATATCAAGTGACGGTACGAACAAGTGTGCGCCTGATGGTAAGCTACTCGCCTGTCCTTAACGGTTGCAGTGCCACTCAGAGCTTTAAATCGCAAAGATCTGAGTGGCACTGCCACTGCGCCCGTCACCCTGAAACATAAGTTGACAAGTCCCATGTGCCTGTAATTTCACCAGCACCCTTACCCTTCAAAACCGGAACACGGTAATGGTGACATTACTGCTTGGCGGCAGAAATTTATCCACCGCAAATCAAATGACCTTAATTGGAGAGTAAGTTCTTAGTAGCAGCAGGGCTCGTGAGAGTTCGTCCAAGGAAATACTGTCACTTTATCTATTTCTGCTGCCAAGCAATCTGCTGGCGCTGGCTGCAATGTGTTGGTTAAATTACTAGCACATGAGACTTGTCAACTTATATCTCAGGGTAACGGGCGCAGTGACAAAACCCCTCAGATGTTTGCGATTGGCAGCTCGAAGCGGTAGTGCGCCTGATATGGACACGCGTGTCGCTTACCACCTGGCGCACGACTTATGCATCCCGTCACTTTATATACAAAAGTCTTGATTCAAGAGAGTTTCTTAAAATGAACTGAAGGTGCTAACAAACTGGTACTGAAAGAACCATATAACAACTTAATGAAAAGAACTTACAAAGATGGGTTGTCAATTCTATTGATCCAATCATCAAAAGTGACTGCCATATCCTGGCGCATAATTCATGCAATGACGTTTTATGAGAGCGTGTAGTTAGAAAGTTAAAATGTTGTAAAAGCTAATGTGATTTTGTGCATCATTTCGTTGCTGGTTATTGTATAATTTTCCTGCATTTTTTGTTTGTTTTAACGCTAGATGTGCTTGATATAAGAGTGTTCTCTAAATGTGTCCCAAAACGGGCAAAAAAATTACGTGTCAAAACAACCAATAGGGCGTTATTTAATGTCGCGTCACTGCTTTGCGCTGGAACCGGAACCAACAAATAATTTAAAATTTTTAGATTGGCATTGAAAGTGTTAAGCATTTACTACAACTTACCATCAACTCTTTAGGGTTGAACATGTCAGCTGCGTGTTTGTTAAGGGCTGCTAACGCTGCGTTCGGTGGATATCCTACTGAGACTGGCTTGCCTGCATCCGCATCTACTGTCATGTGACGACGCGAGTTAAACACCGCTTTCAGAGCCTGGAGGTAGAGTTTAAATTTATAAAACAATAAAGTTCTATTTAAAAACGACAACTCGACCGTGAACTAGCAATCGGTACTATCTCAATTTTGACAACTTTACGGGATGAAGAAAAAAATAGTTTGCGTCATTTATATCGCATCTGGTTTATTAAATAAAAATACGTATCCAGGTTTTCGCAATTGTTACACATAGGAAATGAAACTATTTTCCGGATTTAAATCGCGTATATTTGTTTTTTCAAACAAACCGACGTTTCGGGCTTCACAGATCCCATTCAACTCATTCAGTCAACCACGACTATGAAAAGTGTAAAGGGCCCGAAACGTTGTTTTGTTTGAAAAAACCAAGTACGCGATTTAAATCGGGAAAAATAATTTCATCTAATATGTTTTACTACCAAACCCTTCGATCTGAATGGACCCTAACCACCGTCTGTTACCACACCGGGGTCATAACTACTACGAGAATGAATGAATTGCCTTGAGCCGGTCTGAAAAACCTTCATGTCCACGTAATAACAGCGAAAAATTCTGGAATCGCCAATCCGGAACGCAGAACGTCATTTTCGCTCTTACTACACGAACAAAGATCTTTCTAACCGGCTTATCCGTGTCGATAAGTGTAGTGACTCTCTTAATTATACTCACATGTGTATTACAATGCTTGTCAGTCATATGGTTGAGAAGGGCAAAAGTTTTTCTTGGCACTCTATCGCAGTCCAACCAGAGACAAGGCGCTTCGCCTCCCGCTGTGGTCGGGCAATGCGTCTTAGCTACGTGCGCAAATACGTCAGTGGCATTCTCGAACGTCCTATTTGAATAAAAAAAAAAGACAAAAATAAATTAATCTTATGTCTAAGCTGATAGGTAAGCTTTTAAGTCTTTTTATCAAGGTGATAAATAGACTGTCTTCCGACAAAGTTTTTGTTTCAATTTAACGAAAACAAATTGATAAAGGGGTATTACAAATTACTTGATACACAAACATTTAACTATAGTTTATTACAAATTATTAAACGCCACTGTGCATCATCAGCTTGTTGTACAATTGCCTTGCGTTTTGTTACTCAAAGTATCTTTTCGTAAAAGTCGTATAATTTTTATCCAAGCCGCCCTACGCGTTCGATCTTTAGATATTCTGGGAAATAAAATATCATTTTTAATAGTATTACGGTTATACTTTACGTTAAAACTTTACAACGAATAAACTAGAATTAAAATCACTTTTGCCTACCAAGTCAAAAGTAATTTCAAATTTCCCCATAATATTGGGAGTTAACCAACTCCCAATATTAAGGGCAAATGAAAATTGATTTACTGGCAACGTTGATGTTTAAAATAAATTTATTTCATTTTTATTTTTATTTACGACAATCTAAACAAACAAAAGCAAACTTACCCGTGGAAAGTAACCTCATTAGTTTTATGATCATTTTCGAACCGAGAATTGCAAATTTTAATTACATATTTCACCGTTTTTGATACTTTTTTGTCACGTCTCGGTGACGTTGTACTTACTCGAATTCAAGATGGTGATTGATGTCACTGTTGCCTGTCGACAACAGTGCCGCGGGTACCGTTTGGAAGCGCAGATTGCGCATCCATTGTTTACAAGTATAATATCATTGCCGCAAGGAATCAAGATAAGAGTTGATGTTTTAAAGAAATATTGTAAGTGATAAATGTATACAAATGTATATTTACTAAGAACAACCCCTAGTTTCTTGCGCATTCTTCCCACGTAAATCTGCTTGTTGCAGTTAAGTTTCAACATGACGATTTCAAGTCTGAGTTGCTTACCTATTAAACAAAGATTATTCGACTTTGGTAGACAGATACGTTTGTGCTTAAAAAGCTGTCCTACTGCCAAGCCAGTGTACCGTGCAACCACGTAATACCGTTACGAAATATCAGGAAAGTAATAAGATTTACAGTGGTAAGAAGCTAAAAGCGTTGAGAAAAAATATATGATATCAAATAATACGATCCATAAAGCAATCGTCAATTTCCGAAAAACCTGAATGGTTCCGAAGCTTGCACTTAGAAAGTACGATACCGTAATGGGGTATCATTCGCGCTAAATTACCCTTTACGCGAATGCATTGCTTTGATTGGTTTAATTGCGTGCATGGTAGCATGATTGGATTAGCCAATTTGAACCCGTACTTTCTCAATCATTAAAAGTGCATTGTCAGAGGTAGTTCTTTCTTGGTAGGTCCCTTAATTTGTAATCACATTGGTACTCTGTCTGTTATCCAGTGAATTGTAAAAGTTAATTTTTACGAAGAATGACACCACCGACTAAGAAAAAAGAGCGTCAGAGCTTAAGTTTGGAGACAAAGATAAAAGCTTTAGAAAAGATAGGTGCGTTCGAAAAGCACGTTCGTTACAATATTTAGCTTGTTATTCGATCATACCCCGTTCTATCCTTGTTTCTATCCTATTATTTAGCAGTCATTAGGTCCAAACCATACAACCTACGACCAAACACCAGGCGGGTCACACAAAAAAAATAACAACCCCTTATTACGCGTATTTCGCTTAACACAATTTTGTCCGGAATGCATCCCTCGCGTAAAGCGGAGTATTACTGTACTTACTTGCCACATCCTCGCCAATGGCAAATCCAAGGTGTATCATCTTGGGTTATAGGTTGCGGTAGGGACTGCGTTTGAGGCTGAGTTTGCGGTTGGGATTGCGGTTGGGATTGCGGTTGAGCTTGTGGTTGCGGTTGCGGTTGTGGTTGCGGTTGCGGTTGAGATTGAGGCTGAGATTGCGTTTGTAGTTGAGGCTGCGGTTGAAGTGGCGGAGTTGCAGGCTTTGGGGTTGGCGGTTTCTGTAAAGAACACAAAGTTACTTTTGCACCGTAAGAAAAAAGCATTTTAAAATTTGGTTTCTTCTAAAATGTTTTGCTTTGTTGCAAATCGACTGTGAACTGGCAAGCGGCACTATCTCAAGTTTGACAACTTTACAGAATGAAGAAAAAATAATTTATATAGCGTCTGATTTATTAAATAAAAATATACATACATGCATGTGTAACAAAAATATTTAAGAACTACGTATTTTTATTTAATGAATCGGATGCCGTATAAATGACGCAAACAATTTTTTTCTTCACCCTGTAAAGTTGTCAAAATTGAGATAGTACCGATTGTCAGTTCTCTGTCGAAATGTTAAATAAATAAAAAAAGCTATATAATGACTCCATAGAGCGTATTGTGCATGCAAGACAGAGTAAAGGATATTAAACTGCTTGGAAGGACTTCCAATCGACGGGCCGATCAAATAACCTCTATGGACTCGTCCATTGCATAATTGTACTAGAAAATTTACTAACAGAGAAAAAAGACGAGATATCGTAAGGTGATCCACGTCAGCCCCTGACAAACATACTTCATGATGACCAAGACAGGTTCAAGTATGTTAAGAAAAAGAAGAAATAGGTTACAAACCTCAACTGGTATTGGTTGTGTGACAACAGTTTCTTTCTCGCCGATCTTAGTGTTCCCTACCATCACAGGCTGCCGAGTTATGACTTGACGCATACCGGGCTGTTGGACCTTCTGTCAACATTATTAAATTATAAGTGCCAGCCATTGACATCAAGCGAATCATCATAGTTAGCCCATACACACAGCGTATTTTATACGCACCGACGACGCGCAGATGACGCGATTCAAACGCAGCGAATAAACCTTTGCACACGTTCACAAATTCAGTGGCGCCGTAAACGCGTGTCATCTGCGCGTATACGCGCCGTAGACGCACTGTGAAGATGGCAATGGATCTGCGGTGGCAGACCACTTTCTGAGCTCCGGTACTGGTCACTACATTCGGTTTGATAAAGCTAAGGTTTTAGCGCGGGAGAAGTATTTTGTGCCCCGCAAAATCCGAGAGGCTATTGAAATAAGTAGGCGACCAAATTTTAATAGAGACGGAGGCTGGAGCTTGCCACCGACTTGGAAGCCGTGTCTTCATGGCGCTCGGTATGCAGCTGCAGATGTTAGTAGTAACGACGTGGTGAGCTCTGTGTTGTGACTGTTCCCGACAACAATCCTACGGACAGCAGTAGCAAAGAAGAGTTCCAGGACGCACTGACGCAACGTATCAGCCCCCCGAATTCCCCACTGCGGACTGCGTCATCGGCGCGCGCGCAGAGAGCCGCAGCGCGCAGTGCTAGACGTGACGCGGTCGCGAACGTTGCACTCAAGCCCAGAAGAAGACCATCGATTATGGTCGAAACTAGTCGGACCGCTTCCGACTAAAATACTACGCAACTAAGTCCCGTTACTTTTATATTATAATGCGTGATAACCGCGTTAGTTTTCATAATAAAATAGCTTCGTCTTGCATTTAGTGTGATCCGCTCCGTGCTTGTCTTTGCCCTCAGCTCATTTATATTATATTGGCTTTATGACCAACGTCAACGATTTGTGGTTTGGAGCGCAATATGCTGTTTCGCACGCGGTCTGACAATTTTACTTCCAAGTTAGATGTAGTAGTAGGAAAATATAATCTAATGAATTATTAAAAGTCATGGAACAAGAGTTGTTGTGTATGATGTTTGCAATATAGTTAGTATTTTACAAATGACCCTTTATAATACTCACTGTTACGGTATTAGTTTGTATAACGCTTGTTTTGCAGTCGCTTTGAACCACAGTTGGCTGGTTGACGACGGGTTGGTTGACAACTTGGGTTCTTTGTGGTTGCTGAACTACTCTATGCACCCCGGGTTTGATTGGTGTATTCACTATAATCTGTTGGTTGTTCGATACTGCGATTATCTAGAAGCAAATACATAGGTATATTGGGCGGAATGTTGCGTCTCAACCGGCTTTGTTTCTTCTCTTAGTTTTCGTTTTTTACAGTTCAGATATGGAGATTTCATTACGTTGAAATCATAATTACATAATGATTATTTAGTACATTATTGCAGAAGCCGGGAAGTAAGGGATTGCTGGACGAGTATGAATTACAAGGACGAGGCCTTGTATATACGAGTCAAGCAATTCCCGTTCCCGCTGAAGCTTGTATAGATTTTTCTCAAACAATGCTAGGAAATAATAACAGACTAAAGAGAGGAAGATGTGTGAAGAACATAATAGAAAAAGTAAAAAAATATTAACTAACATTAAACACTATACAATATAATTTGCTAAAAGAAAATGTTATTGTTTTTCCTGGCACATTAATAGTAGTCTGCTGGACTTCTGATGATGTGTTTGAGTTAATCTATTCCTATATTTTCGTTATTGCTCTTCGCACTAGCACTCATTTTTGCGACCAAAATACAAACACGACAAAACAAATGAGTACCAAAACACTGTAGTCTAAATGTTACCGCCATTTTCTTTTTTTTTAATTCTCGCAGTTATGAACATCGGGCAGTTGGCTGTATGAGTTTTATTTTGCCTGTTTACATAGTTCATTATTAGCAGGTAGATTTAAAAGTTTAGAGAAGAGGACAGTAATGGATTTTCTATACTTACTTTGCAGGCCTTGGCAGGGAAAAAGTCGCATGGTCCATAAATGACAAACTATCCGTATTCGTTTTTTGAACGTAATGCAAACATTTCCAAGAATGTTTGAGAAAACCTTATTGTTTGATGATAAATATGACAATAAAACTTACCTGTTGATTTCCTTGTAACAACGGTTGGCTGGCCTGGATAACCTGCTGGTTACCAGCTACAATTTGATTGGTCGTTGTAGAGATCAAAGCGGGTGGTTGTTTCTGTGTAACCACAATCTGCTGCGTTGGGGGTTGGTTGATTATCTGCGCCTTGTGTGGTTGTGGTTGCGTGGTTATTATTGGTTGTTGACTTTGCGTTATTTGCGGTGCGTTCTATAAAACACATTTGTGTTAGTATCAAATAAATTTTTAGATATCATAATGGAAATATATTCTGAACAATATACGACGCGTGCGTAATCTTATAAAGTAGTAAAACGGTCTGAATATTACAAATCAAAATGCAATAACTATTCAAATATTTGTAAAATGTAGTAGAAGAGGTGACAAAAAAACAAGCCATTTTAGGCCATCCGTACAAAGTTCTTTTTAAAACAAATTTTGTAATATGTACGTAGTACAATTGCTGATAGACTAGGTAACTAGTGTGTGTAAGTAGTGCTTTAGAGCACCTTTCACAATCAATCATCAACCCATTTATACTTCATTTATGATATGGGCACGGGTCTCCTCTTCGCCACGCTCACTCAACGTGGATCGAAGACATTACACGTTTTCCGAGGGTTGTAAACCTTCTTCGACGTGCAGATTTCATCACGTTTTCCTTCACCGAAAAGCCAAAAACATGGTAGATTTCAAATTAAATTACGCACATAAATTCCGAGAAAACAGAGGTGCGAACTCACGACCCTCTGCTTGAGAGGCAGTAGGTCAAACCATTAGGCTACCACGATTTTACCTTTTAAAGTACCTTTAAATTTGCTATTTAATTTAATTGTGAGAAAACTTGGGAATTTTTGTCACCTCATATAAATAGTTATGATCAAACAATTCTTCGATCATACGGGGATCATCTTTCACTACCTAATTTCCGTGGCAATTTTTATTTTTAAGTATTCAATTTTTTATCGTGAAATATTATTTAATAATTACACGATAATATATGTACTTAAATAATAAAAATTGCCACGGAAATTTGTTAGTGAACAACGTCTCATAAAATAAACCCTTTACCAAAAAAGCAATATCACAGTAATAAATAACTCCAGCTTTCCAAATGACAATGCCAGATAAGCCATAAGCGGCTTAGACAGAAATTTGTAATGTACAAAAATGATTTGACCTCTAGTATTCTATAGTACTATTGTAGCTTGCAAGAAACCCTTTTTCATGATACCCAGTGATGATACAAACAAGTCGTTCGCCCGGTGTCAAGCGTCACTCCTGTCCATACCAGTGCCACTCAGAACCCCAAATTGCAGATCTGAGGGGCACTGCCACTGCGCCTGTTACCCATAAGTTGACACCAGTACCCATACCTTTCAAAACCTAAACGCAGCAATGCTCACATTACTGCTTGGCAGAAATAGGTAAGGTGGCAGTTTTTTCCTGGCGAAAATCTTTCACAAGGGGCTCTACTGCTACCTCCATGAGTACTGTATATTATTACAAAATTATGACCTTGCCTGCAGTTGAAATACAGAATATTTATCAAGTCCTTAACATTTTTTTCATTTAAATTGGTTTTTTCAAACAACAAATATACAATATTTACATCCGGACATACTTTTGCATAAATTGGTCACTTTTGCATAAATTGATCACTTTTGCATGAACTTTAATTCATTTTTGTACATTACATATAGATTTTTGTGCTGGGGCAAATATCTGGCTTTGTCGATTAATTTTTCCAAAATATATAATGGATATAAACAAAACATGCCCACCAAATTACTTAATGAATTTCTTTGCGAACATTTATAAACTTAAGCAATAAAAATAATTATTATTAAAATTAATTAATTACAAAACAGGCCCTGTTTCTGTGTTTTTTTCTTTTTTTATTAATCAAAAAAACTAATTCAGCCAATCGATGGCACTTGACAGCTTAATTCGGTAGACATCGAATTTTTACATTTTTAGAGTTATTAGGTTTTATCTATTGCTATATTATATTGGAAACGAGTTTTTTCTTTTTCTTTTTTCATTTTTCGTTTGTTTTTCGTAATGGAACTTGGCCGTGATCATGCGACCTGTAAGTTCCAGAACGTTGGTTCGTTTGAAAAACAAATATACGTGATTTAGATGCAAATAAATAGTTTAATTTCCAAAAGACATTTCATTTTTTTAATTAATAAAATAAAAAAAGGGACCGTTCAAAATGCAAATTTTCTACATACTTATATATCTATTACATGACATGCACAACACTCTTTTATATTGGCTCTGTATTCACGAAAAAGCGTATTTTAACATTTTTGTTCTAGAAACAAAGTGTCATTTTGTAAATGACATACTTAACACAATGGCACATTTTTTTCGATTTAGTCGTTATAGTCGAGTAATTTCAAACCTCACAGAGCCAATAACGTTTTCTAACATGATTTTTTATGTATCTCTAAAAAAGTAACTTAGTTACGGTAAGCGTAGCAAATACTGCCGATGTACTCATTTTTAACACACGAACAATGAATTAGAGCCGTTCACAAAAAAATATTCTCATGTAACAATTTAGTCAGTATCAGTTGTGCCATTAATAATGATACAGAATCTAGCGCAACTCAAGCTTGACACTTAAGTTTTAAATACAACTCTATGCCGCTTTCGATAAGAACGGTCCAAAGTACAAAGTGTGAAGCGTGCCGTACTCTTGACTGTACAAGTGGTTTTTGTTTTATATCAAGTGACCGGACGAACAAGTCGTGCGCCTGATGGTAAGCTACACGCCTGTCCATAACAGTTGCAATGCCACTCAGAGCTTTAAATCGCAAAGATCTAAGAGGCACTGCCACTGCGCCCGTCACCCTGCGACAAAAGTTGACAAGTCTCATGTGCCCGTAATTTCACCGGCACCCTTACCCATCAAAACCGGAACACAGTAACGCTGACATTATTGCTTGGCGGCAGAAATAGGTAAGGTGACAGTACTTCCCTGGACAAACTCTTTCAAAGGAGCTCTACTGCTCCTTAAATATATTATGTAAATAATTACTAATTATCACTTTATTTAATGGTGATTGAAAACATCGTGAAGGAACTCTAGCGAACTCGAAATATTAGCGGCCCCAATTTATTGCTCGCGTGTGTATAAAGGATTACGAGTACATTGTAAATGTACCTTTATAATTAAGGCGCATAACAGTCATTACATTATAAAACAATCTACATAAGCCGTATAATTATTGTGCATCTCGAATAAAGTGTTTTGTGAACCTGTGCTATTTGCGTTTTGACCACAGCAATGGGCTGAGTCAATGCGGGCTGGCTTACTATCACCCTCTGAGTCGATTGGATCACGCCAGAATTCTGTGCCAATAAAGTTACACACGTATACAGTGAGGAGCATAAAAAAATCCATCATAAAATTTCTTTTATTATCGACTTGCCTTTTGATGGTTCAAAGCAATGTCTGAACACCTGACATCATAAGCTATGCTTCGGATACCAGTGGTATTTCGTTATTTCGACCTCTCTACACCTCTTAGGCCCGGCGCCCATTGGCGAGACGGTATAGTAGGAATCTCTCAGCATCCCTACATGAAAGAGCCCCCTGACAACAATGACGGTATCCTCAGACATGCCAAAGCATACAGTTGAGACATCCTGTAAGCGCCTAGCCTCCATTCAGATCAGCCGCAACGTTGCAAACTGGTTTATTACCAGTTACTCGCAGAAGTACTTACTGAAGAAGAACATTATTTTCCAAAAAGAAGATTTAGGGTTACGGAAGCCTACCAAAGCATCCCGAAGACTGCCAAGGCATTCATTCCGAGGCTACATAAACTTTTTGCAGTTACAACCATTATTACTAAAATTCTAACTATAACTTCAGAACATTAAGGTATATCACCGTCACCTAAAAATCCCCTGTCATGCCGTCTCGTCAATGGGCGCCAGGCCTTAGTCGAACTGACAAATGCTATTGGTAGCAAAATGGGCCTTATTGCAAGACCTCATCGAAAACTAATTGTCGCACAAAATATTTCTGTATCCAGAACGTAAGACCATGGAGCATGTAATTAAAAACCAATAATAAGGTACCTGCAGATTGACATAAAGGAGTCACCACACTTATTAATTCGGAATCAGCTTAAGGCGGTTAGATAAACCTATATATCGTAAGACTCTCTTCTCGTCGTCAATTGTATTTTTCACTCTTACATGGATCTAAAGCATCAATATACGATACATTTATTAGTAATCAACTGTTTAACATATATTTAGTTATTTTTCATCACATTTTGGACATAATAATATAATTCAAGTATATTTATTAAGATTATTTACTTTTTGTTTTTGTCTTTTCTTTTTTTCAAACATGTTATTTTATCCAATTACGAGGAATGAATTATAAATTAAATTGTATCAGCTTGACTTTACAATTGTTTTATATTACTTGTAACATATTTCATAATTGTAAATAAATAATTAATTAGCATATGAAATTAATAATTAATTAAGCTGTTGTAGTCCCTTACAGGATTCATGTGTTGGAATCTTTTATTCCATTTTATATAACACTTTTGTCAATTCACATGAATAAATGAATTATGAATTAAAGCTATTTCTGATCCATTCAAGCCCATTCAGAGTTATTAAGTGTGGTGCCTCTCTTAATAATCGTTGTCATATCGTGACCTAGCCTCACTTTCACCAGTCCTACAATGTTACATGACATTGTATCAGTAACACTCGAAAGCTTATCGCGATTTGTAAAAGTCTTTAAACAGTCATTACTGGGGCACGATTGTATATAAACTTTGTTAAAATGTAAAGTAGGAGACAATGACCAGATGAGCTATTTGAAGAGAGGTGGTCATCGTCCTCACAGAGAACCTTGTTTAGTCCTCAACACTTCCATGTCACAGTGCAAAAAAGAACCCATTAAGAGCGAGCCCCTTGTGACGATGCGGCCACTTTTCATCATCACCCCACCTTTTTATCACCCTTTTCTGAGAAAAGGGTGACAAAATTCCTGGCTAATTTCTGTTCACTTACTTTTGAAATTTTGAATCGTTCTCTAGTTCTTTTTTTTCGTAATTCCCACTTTGCTACGTTCCATCGTCACTCCCATCAAAATTATCGAGGAGAAAAGACGTGGCCTTGAATCATGTAAACCTATCTGCCTGTCTCTTTTTTCTTCTCCTTTTCCTTCACAGTTTCCCTACTTTGTTATCTATTCCTTCTACAATAAAATCATGCGAACAGAATTATCCACGTTATTATCCAACGTCTTAGGTACACTAACGTCGTCCTCAACGCGATATTCAATCATCCGATAATGGACACTTCGAACACAACATTTAAACGGCACTTACACGCATGAGTATGCGTGTGCGCCATTGAACAAGCTCATGTGTAACATATAGTTAGATTATCATCTACACAAAGTTTTAGTATACCCTTTTAAATAAGCTTAACTATGAATAGAATGTAAGTAAATTTCTAAATGTATTAAGTAACATAAACTGGTGATTAACGGACCTTAAAGTGAATATATAAACCATATTAATACATTAAATTGGAAATATTAAAATAAAAATTGAGAATGAACTTATTAACATATTGAATTATTCGAAGTGTTTGGTAAAAGATACAGCATAATTTTGTCGGTTATTTGCCATTTTAAGCCGAATAGAAAATATGGAAAAAAAATCCTATCAACGTCGATGGAAAGAGACATCTTGACTAATATTGTAGGTTGTATGAATACGTGAATTTTTAATCATTTTCCATCAGACTTTTTTGCCTGTATGTTTGTAAACACTTACATACAGACAAAGTCGGCCGTCACGTCCTAAATTACGTCCACGGGTGTTTTAAAATTTAATTACACGATAAGATTAACCAAAAAGTTGTGCGTTTGACTTCAGTCTCACCTGATGTAAAGTTATCATGAGGTCGACGATATATTATGCACACCTAAATAAAGCCAATTCACTCTGGCCTTGAAAAGGTCCGAGTTATAGCTTCGGGGAATAAGTCCGCAGGTAGGGAATTCATAAAACAATCGTCTCATAACAATTTGTGTATCTTTTAACAAACACTTCAAGAAATTTCATGCAAAATATCGGTATCATACTATAATAAGACAAGTTGGGTTATATGTGCACGCCCACCGCGCTCCTTGTAGGGATGTACATTCGCAAAATCTCGCAGTGCACTCACGTTGCATAGCGCGTGTCGTCTCACGAGCCATTCATGTTTTTTTTTTATAATTATGAACGGGGGAGTTCGTTGCGTAGCATGGAGGGGCCCGAGATGGAAGGCTCGTCTGGTGTTCGGCGAGCCTTACATTTGGAGTCGGGGGACCGTAGTGTCTCTCTTCTTGGGGAGGGGCTGCGCTGGGCGCGGCCAGCCGCTGGTGGAGGCGCGGACGAGCGATAGCACACCCATACCTCCACCTGCCGCGGAGAGGAGGAACACCCCGGGGGTTTAATGCGGTCAGGCTACTGCCCTTCAGAGTTCAGCCCAGTCCCAGATAACCTCGGCTCTGCCCCCATAGGGTAGGGGCATCTATAAGCAAATTCCCTAGGGTAATATAAAACAATGTGTGCACGCCCACCGCGCTCCTTGTGCGGATGCATACTCCCGTAATCTCGCAGTGCACTCACGTTGCATAGCGCGAGTTGTTGTTTTTTTATTAAATTTATCCAATGAAAGGGTTGGGAAAGCAGACACTGGAAGCATTCATTCGGTTTTCGAATTCTGAAATGTTAAACATCTCATTTCTATTTCACAATCATTGTCCAGTAATCGAAATATCAATCCACTATAGTACTGCATTTAACAAAGATTGTTTCAATATAGCTCTACCATACTATAATGAACACCTTTTATTATATTATTTTTACACCGTATAGTTTCAACTAAAATAATAATGTGACTCCCTACGCTCCAAGCGAAGTGTAGGTATTGATGCGCCAAACAAAAATGTGGGTGTTGCCCTACTTGGTCTTATTATACTATGATAGTATCCACCATTTTTTTTCACAACGAACATTGCAAAATGATTACCATGAAATGTTATGCTATGGATTGTAGAGCATCACATAAGCGTCATTTGAGAGGTGGCGAACAGCTATCGACATTGTTGGTTGGGTAGCTGTTCCGCTATGCAGCGAGGTAAGTCTCAGAGCATTGCAATTTATATCTTATTTCAATTGAAATAACATATATTGACAAAATTTAATGTGTTTACACGTCTACCGATTTGCGCTGCTTCTTGCTCTTTTATATATTTACGATACGCTCCGTACAACGTGTAAGCATTGAAGCGCCGAACAGGTGGCAGTTGCGGTCTTTTATTGCTGGTCATACTAGCATATCATACTGACATGACCAATAAAAGTTGTTTGTATTGGTGGTCATATTTAGTCAGCACTAACACCCTGTAGGCAAATGTGCTTGACTTAAACAATAAAGAACAATTTCACTCAAAATATAAAACAAAGGGTATATTTAATTTATCAAAAAGAATCCCACATCTTTTTGCGTAATTGGCTGGCCACAAGTGTGATTCTTTTATTATGTGGTTACCCTGAAAGAGTGAGACATTGTTTGAATTAATGGTTTCTATCACCTACTCAAATGCAAAACATTGAAAAATTTTTCAACTCATTTTTTTTAAAGCCTCACACTACGGAGACCCTGTATCACGGGTGCCACAGACGCACATATAGACAACCACAAATCACACCCAAACTCACGAAAGAAATAAATGTAAGCCATACATATTTCTCCCGACCCGTCAATACGGATAACGTAACGGATCCTCTACACTTTTCGCTTCTAAATTTACAACAGTTCCATAGATTCTATAACACCATTCTTATAAAATTGTCTGTCACTGAACAGCAATACCGTTCTACCTTTGTGATTTATAAATTTATTTTATCTTACAGGGTTTTAATACTGACCAAATATGACCACCAATACAAACAATTCTTATTGGACATATCAGTATGACATGTCAGTATGTTACGTAGTGTACGTTGTACTACATATAAATTCGAACAACATGTCATGTCATCGCCTTATTTTCTCAAACTCGTGTCTTAAAGCACAAAGTTACTGAAATGCAAAAATGGATTGTATATACAAATTTTGTAGGCCGATTTTACATCACATTTCCTTCATTTTCACACACTGGTTTTTACCTATTCTTATAGTAATGCATCCAAATCGACACCCTTGATAAGAACTTTAAAATAAATAGAAAGATTTGTCATCTCCTGAATAATCACTCTTTAGAAGATACGAGTTTGAGAAAGTAAGGCATCGATATGAGTCTTATTATACAATGATTTAAAGTTCATTTTTGACATTCGAATATTGCGTGTGAACAAAAGTGATGTAATGCTGATAGAAGAATGAGAATGTTGCCTTCTCTTAGACATCGCTAATGTGATGAGACACTACAACCTTAGTAGACTATGTGAAGCAAGGCAGATTTATGTAGGACAAAAAAACAAAGTGACAAATACAAAATGAGATTATTAGAAATGTGTTCTAAGAAGCGCTAGTGATGTTAATAGTTTAACATGAACAAATACCCTTATAAAAAAAAATATTAATCCACTATGTTAGTGAATGGGAAGCGTTGGAAGCTTCTATTACTAGTTTTTAACCTGTATAATTTGCTGTTGAGTAATCGCCTCTGTGGCCTGGGTGATAAGACTGTTAAGCGTCGCCTCGTCCAAACCGCCTGGGTTGTTCACCTTTTATAACATTTACAATATTGATACCAATGAGCCGTTTTATCTGACATTTTCGTTCACTGCTTAAACACAATTAGGATGCACATTGCATAACATCGGTATCTGGCTGCGGTCCCTGATTATGTTTTCCTTCACAACTTAACTTTAAAAGTTTTAGTCAAAGTCAATTGAAAATCTTTTTCATTTTTTTATTAAGGGTTATACTTAGCAGCACGCACGCACAGCACACGTGCGACTGTCATTTTATATGGGGTATCGACAGTACACTTCAGCATCAAATGGGGTTCAACCCTTAGTTCAGTAGATCACTTCGCAAAGTATGGGGGTAATATGAGGCCTTCTATTAAATACTTTTTTCCAACATGGCCGACATTGGAGTGTATATAATAAAATGGAATACATACCGTAAGTGTCAGAGGGCCTCCTCCAGTAGGTCCTTGTACTATGATAATGGTTTTTTGCATCATATTACCGGGTATATTTTGCGTTATGTAGCTCAGCCCGCCTGAGAAACAAAACAAAGATTACATTTTTTTTATATAATACCAATTGTAAATGTAAACAAAACATGTAAATAAAAAGACGATATATTATTTAACTGCCTCTGTGGTCGAACGGTTACCATGCTGCTCTGCCACTCAGGGGTCTCAGGTTCGATTCCTGGGCCGGAATGCCACTCAGAGCTGTAAATCGCAAGGATCTTATGGGTACCGCCACTGCGCCCGTCACCGTGAGACGTAAGTTGACAAGTCCCATGTGCCTGTAATTTCACCGGCACCCTTACCCTTCAAAACCGGAACACAGTAATGCTGACATTATTGCTTGGCGGCAGAAATAGGCAAAGTGGCAGTACTTACCTGGACGAACTCTTTCACAGGGAGCTCTACTGCTACTAAAAGGTGTAATTTGTGGTTGTCTATGTGTGTGGCCATGGCACCCGCGCTACAGGGTTTCCTGAGTTATAAGGTTTCGCGGGGCTATCAGTGTGTGCGTTATGCATATATTACATCGTAATAAGATCTTAAGAAATAACAATCTTTTAAGTTTTAGGCGAATTAGAGCCGAATTCGATGCGTTGACAAACGTACACATATTTATTTTTTGTTTATTATGGATAGCTTTCGGAAAGCTGAAAGATGTCTTTTGGTCAAAAAAGATACCACAGTATCTGAAGACCCGTCTCTTCAACCAGTGTGTCCTATCAACAATGAAACATGGACGCTTACTAAAAATTGTGAACTGAATACGAGTAGCACAAATGGCCTTGGAGACCGCCATGCTAGGTATCACACTCCTCGATACAATTCACAGGGCAATCCCACGTCTGACGAAAATTCAAGACGTTGGGGCATTGTGTTAGACGTTGTGATTGAGACCTTAAGTGAAATTGGGCAGGACGTCTGATGAGGCGTGGTGGTAGCCCCTGGAAGTAGAAGTCGCAGGCAAAACCTGGACCAGAAACGCACTGAACTGGAAAGTTTGGCAGGATCTAAACCCAGCAGCGGATAATACAAGGCAGAAAATTATGATGTTGTGAGTGAATTTCATTAATGTAGTCTCTTCCTTTTCTTATAAAACCTAAGTAATACTACGAACAAGTGCGCCTGGTAGTAAGCGACAATGCCTATTCATAACAGTTGCAGTGTCAATAAGAGCTTTAAATCGCAAAGATCTCAGGGGCACTACCACTGCGCCCGTCACCCGGAGAGATAAGTTGACAAGTGCCATATTTTATATGCCTGTAATTTCACCAGCACCCTTACCCTCCCAAACCGAAACGCAATGATGCTCATATTACTACTTGGCGGCAGAAATAGGTAAGGTGGCAGTACTACAGGAGTACTAGCTACTATACTACAGGACATTCCCTTGTTTGAAGCCAGGCAATTGGTGTGGTTGACGGGCACATTATTATTTATAACCATAAGTCTTACCCTGTGAGGTGCTAGGTGTAGCAATTAATTGCATTGGTTGCTGAACGTATTGCGTTTGCTGAGTCGCCATTGGTTTTTCTAAAACAACATTAATTTTTATTCTAGCGAATTATGTTATTAGTTGTTAACTTACTTAAGAACGTAAACTAATTTTTGTAATAGTTCTATGAAGACAGTCACGATTTTATAAGGACTTCAAATTGTTTATTACATATAATGCACTGACAGTACAGTGCAATAACATCCTCAAGATGCTGCTGGGACTGCCACGGCACTGCGCGTCCTGCATGTTCATCATGACAGATAACATTTATGCCATTAGGCGAAAAAAGTTGTTGTTTCTGCTAAAACGAGCGCGTGACAGTCGCAATGGCATCCTGAGGAAGTTTGCCCATCGTAACGACTGTACAATCTTAAAGTATTAAAAAGATTACTACCTACTGGTCCAATTAAGCAGTGATTTGTGAAATTCCGTAGTGCATTGTGTAATTCTGTAGTGATTTGTGTAATTCCGTAGTGATTTGTAATAATAATTCCTTAATTATCGTATTTTCATTATTATTCAATACCTCCAAATTTATTGTAATTATATTAACACAGTTTTAAATTTTCCTTTTGTGACTATCATTATCTTATTGGCTCTGGCCTGAATTTAATTATTTATTTAATTTTTATTTACTATTAGACGAAAAAGGCCAATCCGTATCGTGCCGAAATCCAATCTAAAATATCTCGTACGCACAGTACGGTAGACCAAAGTCCATAAAAAATCCTTCAAAATTTTACCAAATCAGCCTGGCGCACTCAGACGCGCGCTATCGCTGTGTCGGAAATGTCTATTCAGTTGGACAGCCATATACTGTATACTATGCATTATTTATTACAATAATAAGTATTGGTGACAGTGATCATAGTGACTATATGTTAAAAATTTTAATGAGTTCGACAGCTCCTCGAGAGCTGCGGCAAGGGTGAGCTTTATTCTTTTTTTTTATAATACTAATTGAGGGCACGAACAAGTCGTGCGCTTGATGATAAGCGACACACCTATCCATAACAATTGCAGTGCCACTAAGAGCTTTAAATCGCAAAGATTTTAGGGTCACTGCCACTATGCCCGTCACCCGGAGACAAATTGACAAGACCCGTTTGTCTGTAATTTCACCAGCATAATTACCATTCAAAACCAGAACGCAGTAATGCTCACATTATTGCTTGGCGGTTGAAATAGGTAAGGTGGCAGTACTTCCCTGGACGAATTATTTCACAAGGAGCTCTACTACTACAGAGCTCGCAAGTAAAGGAAGGGGAAAAGGATCGTGCTTACACCAACCTTCAGCTCCAGGTTCTCCAGCCCGTTATAGTTCACACTACTTTCACGTATACTAATTAATTGCGGTCACAAATACCGTCACCACGATTTTCCTGCTGCTCACACCTTTATTTTATTAAGGGTTAAATAGTACAGACTTTTTCAAGAAGTTTTTCAATTCCAACGTAACGTCATGTCACGTTGTTTATGGGCGTCAGTATTATTGATGGCGCCTTGGCGTAGCTCGAATTGGGATTTTGGGAAGATTCAGCAAATGGTGTCGCGTGCTCAGATATACCTAAAGTATAACCTGATCAAATGAAAGCCAATACATGACGTTATGAAGTATTTTGCATTAATCTGTGATTATGGTTACGATAAAGAAATAAAGCTCTGCCAATTCGAAATAAACCGACATTACCAGTATTAACTGCAAAAAAGTATTAATGCATTAGCATGGAATGACATTGTGTGCGCAACTTTAGCGGTTCAATACATTTCGTTAGGATTCTATTTCCCTCGTGTTGATTGAATTCCAATAAGAAACGTGTTCCTATGACAGAAAATGTTGTCCTAAATCTTATTAGAAATTAATTTCAAAAAAGATGGCAACCTTACACATAATTACCATACATTGCAATGTCGAAAAGTGGCAGTTAGTAGATATCAATGTGTGACCGTGTATAGGTATCGAATTTTATTTCAACTAATTTACCTTGAAGAATAAGCTGTCCCGCTTGAGATGCGATGATATTTTGAACCTCCATAGGCTGCACTTGCAGCATTGGTTGTTGCACTTGTAAAGTAGGTTGCTGCACCTGTTATAAAGTTATATTTCATTTCAAGTTTTCCATTAATAGTTAGTGCCCGTCCAGTCGCATAACGGCAGTGGTTTAAACTCATGTAATAGGAAAAACAAACAACAAAAATACCCCCAAAAAAAGTTTCGACGAAGCAGTTTGTTTCAATTTTGAATGTCAACGTACAAATATTCAAAAATACAAACTGTGCACATGATCTAGAAGACAAAGTTATGGGTTTGCCAGCTAAATTATATAGTCTCAAAATCGGAAAAAATCATGTAATTTTGAAAAAAATCCGTCCCATTTTTTTCGAAACAATGGAGCACAAATTAAAAAACCATGACCAAGTTACATCTATCTACACATCAACCACGCTCAAAACGCCTGTACAATCAGGTAGGACTGTCCTACTAAGCGAATACCTATCAGTGTACATCCTAAATTAAATACCTGTATCGTAGACGCTTGAACTTGTAAAGTAGGTTGCTGAACTTGTAACGTAGGTTGCTGCACTTGTAACGTTGGTTGCTGCACGTGTATTGTTGGTTGCTGCACCTACAAGCGCATATATTCATAATTACTTTGGTCAGAGTAATTAGAAAAAAAACATGTCAAGCGACATACCTGCGATCGCAAAGTAACGCTTATTTTTAATTGTTAAACAATCAAACAAATTTGTGCATGCGTAATTCTCGCTAGAGTTGTCTCTACCTCATAAAGTAGGAAGAACTATAGCGAGTATTGCTCATTGTCATTAAAATGAAACATGCCTGCTACTTCTGCATGGATGGCAATAATTTTAGGCACGACATAAGCTAACCTTTAGGTTTCTACAAGACTCTAAGACATAACCTTTAGGTCGGTTCGTCGTTACGTCGGTTTGTTTGAAAAAACAAATATACGCGATTTAAATCCGGAAAAATAGTTTAATTTCCTATAACCTTTAGGTGTCTACAGTTTTGCTCGAACGATCAAAACGTGTCGATTTACAAGAAATATGATACCGATCGTCTGCTTCTTTCACATTTACTCTATTTTGTCTGATATACTTGTTCGACAAAAAGTACGACGTCGATCGTCTACGGCTTACAAATTTACTAGTTTGATCATATGTGTCTGGGCACCTTTATAGAACCGAAATCTTCAAACCAAATGGTCATGTCGCAGTAAAAGGTTTAATAAGCCATTCAACAAAGGTCCTTGCAGTTCCAGAGGCAGTTTGTAGAATTCTATACGTTGAACGATGTGGGACAAAAGTTGTTGGTCTTGATGTTAGTAATATAGTCCTGAGAGGTTGTTAGTATTTTATAAATAACTCTGTACAATAACAACAGATTTTAGCGTTAAAATTTTATTAGTTGAGATCGCATCTAAATTGATCGAAAAACCACGACATATTCTCAAAGCGAACTTGAAAGCTTTTATATGTATGTATTATGATACAATAATTTTTACTCAGCAATAATATTTCAGTTATGGCCGATTAAATTAACAATTTGCACCATTGTTTGTTTCACTTACACTAAAACAAAGTATTCGTTTGACATAAAACGTAATGAATGACATAAGATAGCTAGTACAGCATTAACCATTTGTTGCAAGTTTTGAAGCACCCTTATGCTACTATTTTGCATTTTGTTTTGTGGTCCAACTCAGTTTAGCACGTTAGGAAATAATCGCATTGGTCGAAAAGCCCTTATACAGCAAATCTGTGTTGTGTAGGACGCTCCAAGCCCGGTATCCTTTTTTAAATACTTACCCTTCACCTTGTTTAAAGCTATGTTTGTAATACATAATAAATTAGTTACAGGTGTTCTTAGCATTCGCGACAATAAGTAAAAAGCTGGTGCTGGCACACTTTGCACACATTAAATTTCGGGCAAAAGTCTATTCACCAACCTGCAATATCGGTTCTTGAATGAAAACCGATGCATTTTCTCCAGTCCCAGTGACCAAAACGGATGGCTGAATCACATCAACATTTTCTTGTTTTGTTGGTATCTATTGCAAAAGTAAACCGTTAGGCCCTTTACCAACCCAAGCCGAGCGTTAATGGATTGTGTTTCTAACAACCAAATTTAAGTAAACAAAAGTCAAAATAGCAAAATAATATTGGCTGTTGAAACGCAAATTTACTGCGCTCCGCTATGGTAGATTACGGTCTTTAGAGACAACGCATACCGAGTGTAAAACTGCTCGAACGTATAAATGATAATTATAATTGTAATACAATATAATAATTATTATGATAGTTACAATAATAAACAATGTGTCGATTTGCATTCTCGCCATATTTACAGAGGTCATACTATATCCGAAACTGAACCCAAATCACTAAAAAATAAACAAAAAATAAATTCCTAATTTCTTCTTTTTTTGTGTAACCAAGTTTGATCCAAAGGTCATTGACCTGCACAACACGTGCCATAGGTACCGGCAACCAATTGAGCAATGACCTATACGCAGTATGCGCAGAAGATACGCATTTTAGATCTATTTAGTGACAGGGTACGAGTAGAGACGGAGGGAGTATCGTATCGAGCACGTGATTGGTAGATCATCAGTCCACCAGCCACCTTGCGTATTGCGTCTGCGTTCATCGCGCATACGTTCTAGTTCCTCACGAAATGCAACGTGATTTGTCTGTGATGAAAACAAGATATAGTGCAAAAAAAAGCCGCCACCATGTGCATTACCATTAAGCACGTTCTTATGGCATGATGTGAAACGTTTCGTTTACGCAGATTACGGGTGTCGAAGAATTGCGCGCAACAATCGTCTCTGGTTTCTTTCTGCTTTTTCTGTAGTGAAGAATGTGCTGCTAAGTTGAAACGAAATATCTGTGGCTGGCTCCGGTACGGAGCCTGCCACCGACTGTGGAGCTAGGTACTTCAAGCACTACTTTTACGTAACCTAAAGTTGGTAAGTACCAAATCTAAGTTACAAAAAATCTATTTTCAGTCATCTTTTCTAACGCATGTAAATAATTAGTAAATTACAAAAATACTAGTACATAAACATGATTTAAAAAATAGGTAAATAAGCGATCAAGAAAGATTACGTATCGTTCGATGAAGCGAGGGACGGGGTCACTGTCCTCTGCGGTGAGTACACTTGCGGGACAATTTTACAAAACTTTACTAGATACAATTAGCCAGAATATTCAACGGAATAAATTTTAAATACTTTTAGACGAATTAGCATTATTTCTATTATTAATTTCTTATATGGCGAGAATGCAAATTAACACCCTGTATCTCATACAATAATAAAATAAAAATTGTAGCAAACATTGGTAGATAATAATGGCCCTTAAGGACAACGCACATCAAGCGTATAAATGATAATTATAATCAATGGACGCCAATTAGATGCTTATAGAAGCGCTGCCGTAGTGTGTGTGTACTTCAGTAATTTTCAACGCACATCAAGCATATAAATGATAATTATAATCAATGGACGCCAATTAGATGCTTATAGAAGCGCTGCCGTAGTGTGTGTGTACTTCAGTAATTTTCAACCGACTTCAAAAAAGGAGGAGGTTCTCAATTCGTCTATATTCTTTTCTTTTTATTTTTGTATGTATTTTACACGCTAACTCCGGTGGTACTTGTGAACCGATTTAGATAGTTTTTTTTTTTGTTGGAAAGATGGCACCTCAGTACTGGTCCCATTTAAATTTGATTGAAAAAATATTCCACCTCTAAGGGTGGCAAACTAGGAGATGAATCCGGTTTCGCGGAATTCCCGGTAACCGATTCCAATAAAACTTGGCAAATAGATGTAATTGTACGAACTTTTGAGGTCGGTTTCTTTAGTAGTACTGAGATTATTAGTTCACTAATTATGACTGCAAAGTCGCGCACACATATCACAACAGTGGCGCTGCAACTGCGCTTCTAAATGCAGCGCCACTTGCAGCGCTTCTATAAGCGTCTAATTTGAAAGCGCCCTAAGACAAAAATGACAGTAAACATTTAATTAGTTTACAATTTCTTGTAAACTAAAATTATTGCCACCCTTTACATTTTCATTAAAAATAAAGCATAATGATTCATAATATTTCTTAAACATTACTATTTACGTCTATTAATTATACTTCCACAACAAAATCGGTACCACCTTTAATACATTTTAAGCTGCTCTAACTTCATTACTCTTACGTAGAATATTTACTCACCTTTATATATTCTTAATTGACAATAAAGCTTTCAATCGATATACTTTACAAAAGAGCTCTACAGAGAAAAGGGACAACATAGATAAATATAGATTTAGACAAAACAAAAAACTAACTACACAGTGACTAACTACAAAATACATTGAGTAAAAAATAATATTTGCAAAAACCTTCGGTCGTAGACTCGTTAAAATTATCCTACGAGACCTCGCACGTGTCTACAGGAGCAGACATGGAAAAATATAAGGTTTTCCTAAAGTTTAAATCGCAGTGCAAAGTACGATACCACACACCGTCACTTGTGTCAAAATAAATTATGCCAATAAAGCAATTGAACCGTATTATCATTCATCGTTTTTTTTTTTAATTTTTTGATGTCAAATTTTTTAATGATTCCCTTGCAAAAAGTTAGCGGAAGCTAAATTCAGATATTTGATTATTAGCAAAGCTACGTTAATATACTAAACACCACTAATGAGCCAGGCAACTGACATAGTGGTAAATGCCCACAACAAACTAATAATTTGTGCCACCGCTTGACTACACTCTAGCCAAATTTGAAGTAGAATAAATGTCAACAAACAAATATATGCTATTTTTAGGGTTTTCATCTCAAATTGTTTTACAGTTACTATACATTATCAATATTTTCCCCTGAACTTCAATTAGGCTATTGATGACACAAGACAGCGTAGTCGAGTATTTAGTACCTATTGCTACACCAGACGTCGCAACGAGTACCAAGTAGCCATTTTTGTAACTAATTTGACGAGCTGCAACTTATCAAAGCTACTCGAATCTAATTTCTAGTGATAACAAACAAATCAACTAGATGGTGCTTATTGCACATATTTTTGTGGATAGTGCCGGCTATTATTTTATTTAAGATTAGCGCCATCTACCGATACTAGCAAGCGTTAATTTTTAAATTATTTTGTGACACACAATGTCATCTATTGATACGAATATTTAAAAATTTTAGCTCATGATCAATATAAAATTTGAATAATATTACAAGGAAAATAGTTACTTCTTATATTTCATTATAAAGTGAAGTTAATTGATATCCACGGCCATTTACGTAATTTAAACTACTTCCAGGTCTAGATATAAGTCGAAATTTTGACCTTTTACAGAGTTACGATCTGTACTATGGGGATTTTGGTTAAACTCTTGAGTTATTGGTCCATTACGGTACTAATCTTGAAGTCATGTCTGTCATGAATTTTATTCAATAGAAGTTTCGAATCACTAGTTAGTATTAGAAAGCTAGACAAAAATTACTAGTAATTAATTACTATATATAAAAGTGTGTCACCCCTAATGAATATATTCGAATTCGAGTACAAAGTAATTCAAATTCAGAATCAAAAATGTATGGTGGGTGACATAAGTAGTAAATTAATATAAATTAAAAATCTTACAATATTGTTTTTTTTCTTTTCACTACCATTACCCACTATCTCCACAATAAGTATCAATAGGTATCAAAGATTTAAGGTACAGGCCTACCGCTTAACCGAATCGGTTCCTGAGGTAGATGCGCGATTCAGAAGGAATGACAGTTTACGTAACAGTTCTGTCGCGCAGCACACGGGATTATATCAACAAGATTTTTCAGTAGAATTAATGCAGTAGAAATGAGAGCTTTGAGAAGTAGGGGACGCTAACTAAAACGCAGCGTATAACCCAGTTTTAGAATATTGAAATTGTTTAATGATATTTCAGCTATGCATCGTTAGGGTAAGTTCCGATAAGTCGAACACGTTAACTAATTTCAACTGTTTTCTTTCTTGTTCTTCACATGACATGTAGAGAGAATCAATGAAAGAAGATTGACGAAACGTGTGAGCAGGGAAGTTGGTAAGGGTCAACCATGGCGGTCTTACCATGACCAAATTCAGGCCATCCTAAAGGCCAGGTCAAGAGTACCCTTCACCGAGGAGCGTGTATGAAAGCACTGATGCGTGTTGACGAGGCGAAAGATGTGTCAGGACCGTAGCAAGTGGAAGACTCTTGTCTCTGCCTACCCCGATGGGAAAAAGGGGTGAAGTGTGTAGTATGTATTTTTCTGACGATGTTCAATAACAAGTTGATAGAAAAAAGTGGCAAATGGCTTGTCTATTCATGTCAATTATCAATGAAATTATTTTTTTAAATTATTGTTTCACAGTAGGTACCTTTTTCAATCAATTTGCTATTGAATATAGTCAAAAAAATCTTGATTAAATAATCCCGTGTGCAGCGCGACATAACTGTTACGTAAACTATCACTCCTCCCGCACCGCGCAGCTACCTCAGTAAGCAAACATTATGATAATTTGCTAGGTAAGTATTACATCCACATAACCAAATTACACCTATTTTATTATATTTACAGCAGTAGGCCGTGAGCAGAATCATCCTAAATAATGAGCAGTGGCAAGAAGTGTTATTTACAACTGCCGTCATTGGTTGCCTAACAGCGTTTTTTTATTAAACATTCTATATCGAAATTGGCTAGAACACAGCTTGAATCGTGACACGATCACAGCAAGAGAGGGTTTGTTTACAGTGAGGAGGAGGGGATGACAGTTTCCAGTGGCTCTAGTGTAATTGGTGATTACTATAATGTGACGTCAAAATCGTAAAAAAAAATTACCAGGTCTTCTTCGTCTTCCAACGCGGAAGCAGCGAGAGCTGCGTACAGGTTTGCTGCTGTTTTTGATACGCTTTCTTGAGGAGACGAGCTTTCCTAAAAAAATAAAAATTTACATTTATTATTTCGACGTATATCTGTATACAACTGTGATCAAGACACTAGGCGACGTAGTCAATGCAAACGACATTCCATTCTAGTCGTGCTTCTCGACAAGTTATCGATCGGCGTCGATGAACGTGTCTCAACCCTATTTTTTTTAAAACGAAAAATTTTAGTTGTCCACAATCTCAGAGTCAAGATGTGGATCGGACATAAATTGACAATTCCCATTTGTCTGTAATTTCACCAGCATCATTACCATTCGAAACCGGAACGTAGTAACGCGCCCATTATTGCTTGGTGGTAGAAATAAGTAAGGTGACGGTATTTATTTATTTATTTCGTTTATTGCATTGTCACACTTATATTAATCTAGGTACAGTAGGTTTTAAATGTACATGTGACACCCTATAAGGGCACAGCAAGTTTGTGAGGGTACCATTATTACAAAATTGTCAAATAATAGTAAAAATAATAATTGCATAAAACTATTATAAAGCTAAATAAATTTGTTCATATAATAGATAACAGATATTGAAACATTTTAAATTACATTTCGTCCTCGAGAAATTCCTTAACACTATAATAATTTTTATTTAATAGAAATTCCTTTAAACGTTTAGAGAAAATTTTAAAGTCTTTCGTTTCTTTTAAATCAGTTGGTATGTGATTATATACTTTGGTTACCATACTTTGAGGTCCTGAACAAACTAATTTTAATTTAGAAAATTGTACTTGTAGCTGATGAAGGTCTCTATTGTTGCGCTTATTCCCGGTTTTTGGAGTAAATGAAGTTGGATGGTTTCTAACAAATTTGCACGACTCGAATATGTATATATCTGTTAAAGTTAATATACCTAGTTTTTTAAAGAGGGGTTTACAAGAGTCTGTCCGTTCACTACTCGTCAGTATCCTAACACACTTTTTCTGTACTACAAATACATCGTTAACGTTAGTTGAGTTTCCCCATATAATGACGCCATAAGATAATCTTGAGTGACAGTATGCATAGTACGCTGCGAGGGCAGATTTAAAGTCAGTAACACGCTTTAAGTGACGTAGGGCGTATGTGAACGATGACAACTTATTTGTCAGATTACGGTAGTTCCCTGGATGAACTCTTTCACAAGGAGCTCTACTGCTACTAAAACTTTAAGATGCCATTGGAGATACTGCTTACCTCAGATTTTGGTTCCCCCTTCACTTTTTTAGCAGGAGGTTCAGTATACGAATGATCCGTTGTAACAGTCTTGACAATCTGATCCTTATCGCCCTTTACGACGCCTTGAATGACGCCACTTTGCAACATCTGACCCCCTTGAATGATTTGTCCATCACTCTTAATTTGTACTATTTGACCTTGCTCATTTTTAAACTGTAGCACTGGAGGGATCTGGTCACCCTTAATTTGAATTATCTGTCCTTGTTCATTTTTTATTTGGATAATTTGGTCATTCTTTATTTGGAAGTATGGCGCTTGAGTGACCATAGAGGAATCACTGTTAATTTGTATCACAGGGCTGGAATCAGATTTTACTTGTACAATTTGGCCGGTTTCAGTGATTTGGATTGTGGGGGCGTTGATTTGCGGTGTCATTTGTACTATTTGGACGGGTGGGTTGGATTTCTTTTCGAGAAGATCAGCTAGCATTTTGTTTTGTGCAGTTTTCTGAAAGAAATTAGGTCCATGTAAAACGACTGTGCCGTAATAAAGCCGTGGTAGCCTAATTGTTTGACCTACCGCCTCTCAAGCAGAGGCCGTGGGTTCGAATCCGGCCTCGCACTTCTGGGTTTCTCGGAATTTATGTGCGAAATTTAATTTTAAATTTACCATGAGCTTTTCGGTGAAAGAAAGCATCGTGATGAAACCTTCACGTCGAAGAAGGTTCACAACCCTCAGAAACCGTGTGAAGTCTCCAGCCGGCATTGGACCAGCGTGGCGGACTATGGCCTAAACCCTGGCCTAATAGGAGAATTGGGCCCAGCAGAGGGACGTATAAGGATTGTTGATAATGATAGTAGTGGCAATAATGATGTTGATGGTGGTGGTGGTAATGATGATGATGATGATGGATATGACTGTATAAAGTAATTTTATAAAAACTCGACGGAAACAACCACGTTACGCTCTCTCACTCTCTCATCAACCCTGTTGGATTTTTATGGTTAAGATTCAAGTTCAAATTTTACGCCACATAAAACAGGACGATTCAACATGTAAAGACCAGCGGACTGCTGACTGAACCGACAAAGATTCAAAAATTCATAATAGAATTATGACTACATTGTAAAATTACAGTTTAAAATAACTTACAAAGGTCAATTGAGCTTGATCATCAATTTGGATTTGCACAGCTTCTTCCTTGCAGACTGAAAAAAATAATTCACCTCGTGTATTATACTAATACTTATATTATACAATACTTTCCAAAGACGAAACTAAAATGTTTTTATGAATATTTCGAAATTATAAAAACTACATTCAATTTTCTGTAATACTTGTCCTTATCCTTATACATATATACATCCATAATAATGAGAACAGAATTTGTACTAAAGGCTATCTTAAATTTTTTTCATAACCTTGAATTCAAGTCCTTCAGTCGAAATATTATAGACAATAAACACAGAAACTAAATATAAAAAAGTAACCGTCGTAACATTGTAGTACAACAAAGTTAACCAAATTTCTTTTCTATAGTACCCATTTTCGATATTTTTTTATATTCTCACCTACTGCCTCTTCAGGTGCGCTTATAATGACCTGTAAGACAAAAAAATATTATTCTAATAAGAATATAAAAATTATATATATATACAAAACCGATTTAGCTTCAATTGGAGACAATCTCAAAAAAAATTTAATTTTCATAGAAATAGAGAAACTAAGAGAAATATTTTATGGCAGTAACACTGGCAATAAATCAAAAAATACTAAAAATCGCTGATGTGGACTAGACAACTTTACAACAATAATAAGAAGTATTTTTAAAAGAAATATAACCTCACACAAATGTAAATTTTAGTTTGTTTGTAATACCGATTTGTATTAACTCATTTGGTTTCATTTTTCTATATTTAAGATAAGAAGACGATCAACGGCTCTTTCGGCTCTGATTTCATTCGGTTTCGTCACGAACGCGAGTTTTAATCGTTAAGTTGCACATAATCGCGTTTCATTTTGTGTTCTTACGATCACCATGATACGCAATAATGTCATACGCAAGTCGTATCTATAGCGAACATGATACGCGTTAGCAACAAGCTGCATAGATATAATGAGCGAAGACGGATTAAGTAACTGCCTCCGTGGCTGATTACTATGCCACGCAAAGGTCCCAGGTTCGATTCCCGTGACTGGAGAAATATTTGTATGGCCTACATTTATTTCTCTCGTGAGTTTGGGTGTAATTTGTGGTTGTCTATGTGTGTGTCCATGGCACCCGCAACACGGGGTTTCCCTAGTGCGGGGCTGTGTTGAGTGTGTGAGTTGTTATTATTATTACTATATTATTATTATTAGTTATTTAAAGTAACTAGGGAAATATTTCGAACCTCATATTTAAAAAGTAACTCACGAGAGAAAATTGTTAGAGGGCCCAGTATTCTGTATGGTACTGGGGCCCTCTAGCTGCCTTCTCTTATAGTCCATGTAAGAGACAAAATAACAAAAAACTGCCTGGATTGTATTCTAACATTAGAATAATGAAAAATAAGTTGTAATGTAATTAATAGTAAGAACCTTTTCCCCTTGTACAGCTGGGGTGCTACTGGCCACACCACCTGGAGTTATTGTAGTGCACTTGATAAGCGCCTCTGGATCTACTTCCATTGCCTGTAAAAATGTACAAATTTAACTACATGAAGTTGACTACAACAAAAGTTAATTTTTCAAGTTGGTCTTAATAGCGATGCCATACGGGCACTGCCGGCGCGTTGCGTCCGCGCAACGCTATGATTTCAACCCACGTTCCACTCGAGCAATGTGGTATCGCAACGTCGTGCTACTTACTTACGCACCGCAGCATCCCTCTCCATTTCGACTCCTGGCCCCCTGTCCGACGGTGCGTTGAAACGGCACGCGTTCGTTCGCCGCGTGCCGTTTCAACGCACGGTATCGATGCCAACTCGTATCTTATAAAGAGAGATTATTCAAGAGATGGCAATGACTTTCTATTTATTTTAAATTTCTTATCAAGGTTGTTAATTTGAATGCTACTTTCAGAATAGGTAAAAGCTAGTGTGTGAATATGAAGGAAATGTGATGTAAAATCAGCCTGCAAAATTTGTATGTACAATCCATTTTTTGTATTTCAGTAACTTTGTGCTTTAAGATACAAGTCTGAGAAAACAAGGCAGTACAACGCAGCGTTACCGCTCAGGCGTCGTAAAGCCGACGCAGCGCATCGTGCGGCATCGCCCAAACGGGAATCGAACCCAGGACCTCCTCGCAGTGCAAACTGTTGGGTCACCGAGGTCGCCAAAAAGACGAACAATATGCGATTTACATATACGAAGAGGGTTAAAACTCTGTACTTGTATGTGAGGTCTTACCTCTCACTACAAGGCGACACGATAGTGTTGAATAATCCACCGGGATTGATATATTACAAAACCGACATTGACACCCAAATGTTACATGCCTTATTAAAAACAATATTAACAAAAAGATCGAACAAACCAAGAAAATTTCTTCAATCCGGCTGTTTGCCAGATCGGGGCTAACCGCTCTCTCCACTGAGCTACGGAAAGTCAACAGGGCTGGTTTGAATCCAGCTGGATCGAAGGAATTTTTCTTTACGTTTGTTTGATTTTTTTTTTGTATCAATAATAATATGCGGTTAAGGGCGTCTGCAAATTAGACGCTACTAGAAGCGCAGTTGCAGCGCCACTGTTATGACATTCGCGCGCCACTTTTGCAGTCACAATTACGCGAGGGCCACGAGCCGCGACTCTCCTCGCGAATTCGGTTATTGCTACAACCGTCACCGTCGAGGGTCAATTACAAATATATGATTTTATTTATAAAAGGCCACTAAGTAACGCTGCAACTTGCAGCAACATTCGCTACGAGCGAATTTACACGAGTGGTACTCGCGTTTTTTGCGGGGTACCAGAACAATTATACAAGAAAGTTCCATAGTGTGCACGAAACTGTCACTCCGCGCGTCAGCGTTTGAAACAAATTATTTTGTTTTTATTTGTTCGGTTACTATTGAAAGCAAACAGTTATTAATTTGCATTATTATTATTAATACATATTTACACAATATTAACTATTTAATTCGTAAAATGAATTCTAATTTCCCCCACCACCGAAAACGCTTTAAACGTGGCGATATTTTCGTGGCCGAGGCGTTAGTGAACTAAATATTACTGAAACGTCAAAGCGCTTCACAAGCGTCCAATTTGAAGGCATCCTTAGATTCGAAAAATGGTTTCTTTCTATTAGTTTCATTTCGTGCTTTTTGTCACTTTACATGGATTTTTCTTTTTCTTAAATCTCATGTCATGACATACCTATATCTTCTAAATTTCACTGAAAAAAACTGTTATCTACATACCGACACTTGAGAAGCTGGCTGGACCACAACAGTATTCGTTGGTGCGACCCGTTGTTGATTTTGCTGCCTTTGCGCTACCTATATGTACAAACTTTTTAAGTATTTTTCATCTTACAAAATAAAAATCTTTTTATTACACGTCCTTAATGAAAAAGTAAAAAGTCTAAAGCACCATCTAGGCTGACCAACACGATTTAATCATTAAGAAATAAATTGAATTATCGTCTGATATATCGAGTTCTTACGTTTTCGCGATTGTTACACATAGGAAATGAAACTATTTTTCCGGATTTAAATCGCGTATATTTGTTTTTTCAAACAAACCGACGTTTCGGGCTCGTCAACCGTGACCATGGGACCTGTAAAGGGCCCGAAACGTCGGTTTGTTTGAAAAAATAAATATACGCGATTTAAATCCGGAAAAATAGTTTCATTTCCTATATCGTCTGATAATTCAACATTTTTATTCTTTTATTTCGTATTTCATAAGACTATTGAAGCGCCAAAATACTGCTCAGTTTACTACGAAACCTGGTCAGATTGATGCAGAAAAAGAAGTAAGAATTAATTATTTATAAGGCTCAATTTTGCTCAACAGCTTTATACTCTTTACTATTCCATTTAGTATATGCAGTCTCCTGTTCAGTAGTGGAAATAAAGGATTTTAAAAAAATTTCATGACACCTTTATTCAAGAAACTGTATATGAATTTTTTCGAATAAATAAGAACCCTGGCTACTATTTACTTGTCAAGAAATAACGTTCCTCATGACTCAAAATATACGTCGCAAAACACATTGTATCTTATTGAGGCGTTTGTAAATCTCCAGAATTTGAAGGATATATCATATACGTACTTTACATGCTCACAAAAATTCAATGAAGCTCTGCATATGCATGCCAAACCACACGGGTTACCTTCGAATTATGTTAGTTTAACAGAATCTATGTATCCGGTACAACCAAATCGTCACTCTTTTAGGACTAAGCTTATAAAGGCTTAAATGTTGATACACAAAAAAGCTGAAATAAACGTTTTGATTTTCTTTTTTCATTTGATGAAAATTATAATAAATATTTAAGTATTTTTTTTCATGCTACATCATATTCCTTTCCATTCATCTTTCGGCGCACAGAACCACGTATCTTTCAATGTCCTAACTAACGATCACATGACACGCAATAATGTCATGCAGGTCGCATCGTCAGCGATTATGATACGCGCTAGTGACAAGCTACAAAGATGCGTTAAGCGAAAATGGAAAAGAAAGGAATTTTGTACTTTAGTCCGTATAGTACTCGCTATGTTATAACGTCAGCGTATTGACTGCATTTTGAGCTTTTGACACTATATTAAAATGTGTTTGAAAATATTATCAATTCTTAAATAAAAATAAGGGGCGCTGACAATTTCGAATTAATTTTTAGGCATTTTTTATTTGCACGGAAAGTTGCTGTCTTTTTCTGGGAATTATAACACAGATCATCACAGAAAGACAGGGATTCCTACTTTGTTACACTTACTTTAGATGAAAGAGGATTGTCAATTCCAGTTTCATTATTTATTAAATTTATTTAAATTGTAAAATGTGATTTATTTATGAATAATCATTAAAATTTATTTTAAATTTGAGCAAGTACTTTTACGTCATAACAAGAAGAATTACAATTCAGCCGTACCTTCTATATAATAAAAATATCTTCATGACATGCTAGCTTTCACTGCCACTACGAAAAAAATATTTTAAATCAAACAAAACACCCATGCAAAATTTGCAAAAAGTTTTACCATTAATACACCCAGTTGTAGATAACTTGTCACACTGTTCCTTGTCTAAAATTAATTTATTGTACTAATCGACAATCGTTTATTTATAATTGCATTGAAATCCCACTTTCCTCTCCTGCCACTAAATAAAATCACTATGACACTATAAAAACTAATTATAAAAAATTACTTTCTAAAACACAAAAAAAAACTTATAGAAGACAGAAGTCGTGTCTTGAAATGTTCACGCTCTAATAACCAATATAGTTATACAATTAAGGGTAAGTATTCAAATGCCATTAACGAATTTCAACGTTTTGTCATTTAGTTGTTTCTGGTCCGTGCTTACTTGCTTATACGAGTAGACTTTTTTCCTTCCCATACAAAACCGATTAACAATTGACTCACATCAGGAACTTATCAATCAGTTATCGGCATCTGTTCAGCAAGTCTGCATACTACTCAGTGCTATTGTTCGTAACGACCGAGTGTCAAATCATAATGTTTATTTCTTGTTACAGTGTCTAAAACAGACACGACTTTGGCAGAATCAATAATAACAGATCTCCGACTCTGCAAACTAAGTATCACCCTGTGATAAGACTCTGTGTACGCCCTAATGATACAGTATGACTATTGGCATTACGCGCATCAGACAATCGCGTATCAACCCGCCATAACACTTTACTGTGATACGCGTTCATGATACCAGTATGAATGTTTACGATAGTGAGCTAAACCGTTTTCCTATTTGAAAAAAGGACTTCTGCCTTCTATCGACGTAATCAAACTACAGCATATATACGGTTAGTACTGTTAGTATGCACTTACTTGCGTCATTTGTGGGGCGGGGCTTACTTTATGCGCTAATAAGTGTTTGATCAGAGACGTGTTCGTCGGAGTCGACTCTAAAGCCTGCGAGAGATGAGGATGGGTGGATGCTTGTTGGGGTTGGGGCTGTAATAAATTAGGATACCCTATGTGAATTGAGGCGATCAACGAAAAATGGTGTAATCCTATTCTTCTTCTTATGATTATCGAACCCCATGAAATGCATACAAAAGGTAATGAGGAATTCCAAATTAGCCATTCATTTTATACATAGCAATAATATATTTATGATCAATATATAATATATATATAATATATATATATGTATGTATATGACTTTCAATAAATTTAATTACTATATATATATATATATATATATAATATTATGTATTATATATATATATATATATTATAAGAGTAATAGTACCCAAATGATAATAATTATGTTATTACCAATGGTCGTAAAAAGGCGTTCCACATTTATAAATGTATGTATAGACATAGCTACAAGTTGCGACATACAGTTGTTAAAACCACCAAAATTAATCAATTACCTTTTCGAATTCCGGATTCCCGAAAATGGTTTTACCGCATAGCAGGACAAACTATAGATAGGTCTGTAGTTTGTCCTACGTCCTGGAAGTCGAAGGCGGATTTTAAAGTATTTCTAATAGTGCCATGTAAAAAGTGCAGTAGATAACTGACAGCCTTGGTGCCGTTCCGCCAATGTGACCGTCAAAAGTTAGGGCGGAGAGTGATCCTTCTCGTTACTTTGTTATCTTCTGCTTAGGTAAAAGGTAGTTATCTACTGCACCTTTTTACATAGCATCATTAGAATTAATTTAAAATCCGATTTCGACTTCCTAGCTTTATTTTACGATGCAGTAAAATCATTTCTGGAAATCCGGAATTCAAAAAGTAATTAATTAATATTTGGTGGTTTTAACAACTCTATGTCGCGCCTTGTAGCTATATCTATACATGTATCTATGTGTGTGGAACACTTTCTTCCGACCATTGGTTATTACTTAACGTCACCATACGTCCCAGTTGAAGCGGGACAGTCCCGCTGTTCCCAAAATACTTAAGAATGTCGCGCTTTGACAAAATAGTATACACGTGACAAAAAAAATAGCGCGAAAGCGTAGTAACAAGTAAGCCTTATCGCCCGTGCCTTTTAGTTGTGCGCCCGTACTGCGCGTGCATTGTTTTTGACGGGAATGAATCGGTGGCGTGATGTGCCGGGCTGCCATCGAACGCTTTTAAAAACTAAACCTGACATATTAAAGTAAATTTGCTTATACGATAAATATACAAAGCCAACTTTCCAGAATATATAACATTAGCTTTTTTTAATTTATTTATAAAACATTACCATACATTTATTAAACATTTTTAGTACTTTTTTAAAGTTTCTTAATCAAACATTTCATAACTTGAACATGTCTTTTATTTTTAAAACAATAATAACAAATTTACGAGCGTCCCGCTCTAAGGGAAACAAAGTAACGGTCATGTTAGGTATGTCAAACAAATTGGTTTAAATACCACTGCGAACAATTGAAGCCGTAGTATAGTGGTATAAAATGGTGATGATTCTGTTATATTGCTAAATTGAATCAGCTGGAGCGGTGGATTACAGGGGAAATAAGTAGACAGACGTTGGTAACGAAGAACCTTTTTTCTTTTTCTTTTTTATTAAAAAAGCAACGTAAGTAACGTGTCGTCTGGGCTTAAGGTTCCTGCACGTCAGCCGGGTGTGGCCGCTGTAGTGAGCCCAAACGGATAATTCTTGTATATAGGAATAACTTATGGAGTACCGATCTGATTATTTTTATATAATAAATAATGAGATTCCTGACAACTTTAATTTTTGCATAAGTTTTTAAAAGATGGATAAAATACAAGGATAAAATATTTTTTTTGCATGAAATATAGATTTTAATTTTAATCTCAAAAATATGTGCGTAAATTACTTACAATATATAAAAAATACATTTGCAGGCACTCCCTGCTTTATAAGAAAAGATGCGGTCAAATTTCTGTCTTTTCCGTGTATTTTTTAAATAAAATATTTAAGGTTCAAATTTAAAAAATTATTAATTTTAGTGCAATTTAGATTGTTGTAACCATAACTCGAAAGTAGACATTGTAAAAATGTTGCCATAAAAAACACTAAAATATTTTAAGATCTATTTCTGACATTATACGTAAAAAAATTGGGTTCATATATGACAGTTCGTTATAAATTATTTGTTACAATAAATAACTACTTACACTGCTCCTTGCTGCTTACATCGCTATCTACTACTGAACTTTTACGTTCTGGTTGTTCTATGTAATGTCTGTTTGGGTTCAATAAATGTTAAATTCGAACGCTATGTAAACGCCATAAAAACATAATTTACAATTATAATTTAAAAGTAAACACAGTAAACTTGTAAACTTACTTGTGCCTGTGAAACGACTGGTTTTGCCTCCACAGTGCCTGGTTTATTCGTTAGCTGAGCTTTGAGGATCGGAGATGAGGGTCCTATTAAAAAAAAGATGTCAATCGCAATTTTATTATTAAAATATCTAATGGTAGAGTCTAGGCGTCATTAGAAACCGTAATGGGCAGATTTATTTATCTAACCTTCAAGGAGTATACAGAGTGGATGAAATCTCCCTCTAAAATCCTGGAATGATAATGTTGTTTAATTAGCAATTTACTTTGCTATGGTACTACACCTGGCCAAGAGGGTAAGCCGGAGAGGCTTTAGTGGGTATGCCTTCCATTTGGATGGTTAGTCCCACTTAAACATTGAACCTTCCTGCGCTCGAGTGCATAAAGCATTTCCCCCGTAAACAAAAAAAAAGTGTCTATATACACTCGATGACCTTGGTGGCACGACTTGCACTGTTGGCGCTGAATGATGGGGTCCTTGGTTTGATTGGGAGATGAACTTTTCTAAATGGGTTCTGGTTTAGGTATTCTAGGTAGTGCCCCAGAGTGAATGCAGTTACTCTGGTACTCACAATACAGTTCCTTACTTTGAGATCAGGTAGGTACGTTGGTGTTGGTCTGTCATATTATTATTATTACACATCTATGTAAAAGTTTGGTAAACTTGTAAGTAAAATAGAAATATTTTGTTTTGATTTCTTTTGCCTTTTTTAGTCATTCCAGTATTTCAAAGGAAGGTATATTATACACTTCTTCAGGTCAATTATACTCTACTATATATACACTATTTTTAACCGACTTAAAAAAGGAGATTCTCAATTCGACGATAATTTTTTGTATGTATGTACGCGATAACTCTATTATATTTTTACGATATTTGATGATTCTTTTTTTTTTGTTGGAAAGAGGATGCCTTAGGGATAATAATGGGACCACTGCCATTTAAATTTGAAGAAAATATTCCACCTCCAAGGGTGGCAAACTAGGGGATGCATCCGGTTTTGCGCAATTTCCGGCAACCGATTTCAATAAAACTTGGCAAATAGATGTAATTCCACGAACTTTTGAAGTCGGTTTTTTTAGTACTCCGTAATGATTGTTATATAAATTTTAATAATTTTCGATAATAACTCAATATTGACTTTTTAACGTCAATTGTGAGAACTGCCGTCCAATAACTAAAACGCGGCTATGTGACTAAATCATTTTTTGAGATGTCATAAAAACCATAATAACCTTAGAATAATTAAGTTGTTTAATGATATTTCAGCTATGCATCGTTAGTGTAAGTTCCGATAAGTCGAATACGTTAACTAATGTTAATTGTTTAAAAAAAAGAAAATGTTGTGCTCTATCTTTTACTATTTAAAACGGATATTTGACCATTTGTCACTTAGCCGCGTTGTAGTTAATGGACGGCAGAGAAGTTAAACCATCGATTGCAGTACGTAGCTCTACCTTGAGGTGCATTGGTTCTTGTCTGCTGATTTTTAGCTCGAATGCCGATGTAGACTTGACGAGTTTCGCCTGACGAATTTGTCACCGAATTAGGTCCTACAGTTCCGCCAAACACCGTCCTGAATAACAAAATATTACAATTAATAAGTTGTTGTTTACGTCGAGAGCGTTATGCATTGATATGATGTAGTTGAGGCGAAAAACGAATGTCAAGATCGTAGCAAATAGAAGGCTGTGGTCTTTGTCTGCTGGAAAAGAACGTGAAGTGTTTGTAAGCTACTGTTCATAGTGCAATATCAAAATTTTTTAGCTGTCCAATGAAATAATATGCTACTGTTGTCTTTTTTTATAATAATATAGCTGACTAGCAAAATCACTGCCAAAACCGTTGGGTAATTTTCTGAAAAATTTCAAATAGTGGACATTATTACGGAAAAATTCCCGAAAAAATTGGAAAAATATAACGTCAAAGGCTTATATTATGTTCTACGTTAATATCTTTTGAAGTTTTATTTAGCGTGAATTATAAAATAAACGTGTATAGCTAAGAGCCACTTAAGAGAAAAACGAGATAAATATGATTTCACAAAAGCGGAAAAAGCATTTATAATAGCACCGTGGTTTTCGTTCAGTAACTTCAACTTTTGACAAGTGTCAAAGTCAAATGTGGAAATTAAAGGAAAAATATCTGGAAAAATATAAATTTGTCTGAAAAATATGATTACAAGCCAAATTCAAACTTGAAACTTTGATGACTACGGCGGCCCAGCATTTAAAACTATTGTCACTAAATGAGGGAGGTCCCAGATTAGATTTCCGGTAGGACAAATTTGAGAAACGACTTTTCTAAATTAATTGCAATCTGAGTGTCCTGGATTGTGCCCTGAAGCATATTTCGTTCCTCAGGTACTCATAGTGCAGGAAATTCCCCAATATTATTATTATAGAATAGAAATCATCTATTACTACGCCACAACACAAAAACACACAGTAAGAAAGATAAAAGAAAGATGAAGCTAAATTAAAACAAAACAATTTAAATAAAATAAAAAATCAATAAAATCATACACAACAACAAAGCTAACATTAAATATTTAACAAAATTAGAGTGAATGTCATGTGTGCGGCTGTGGCATATGTAAAAGGATCCCAATTAGCTATTATCACGGCCCCGAGAAAAGGCTGTGACGCTGACTTTCAGTGGACCCTAAAGACAAGTAAGTACCGTGTGTCGCGAATATACGAGTGACCTTGAAATTTCTGTAATGTAGTACGTTGCGTTCTTGTATATTTATAGAATACTTAAATAGTAAATTTGACACATGCATACAGTGATAAGTGTATGTAATGTAGTGTCGAACATTCACAACAAACAAAATAGAACTTATTTAGTTAAAATGAAACCGATTGCAAGATTTGTATCACGTGTGCGACGCAAGAAGAGCGACGCAAGAAGAGCGGGTAGGCGCGCAGGAGGCGTCCCGGCTTACGAACACGGAATACTGTACCACACGATCCAAGAAAATGCAGCCCACTCCATTGTAAACACTAAACAAGTTTAATCGTGCGTCGTGTGTAATTAGCTCGCAGAATAGCGTGCAGTCTCATATACCATAAGAGGTACGTACTAATCTTCATAACTTATAAACATTGCTAATTATTATGAATAAAAGATTATAACAATGAAAAATAGTAATTATTAACATTTTTCAGGAACAAATAAACTATCAAATTTATTATCTATTTATTATCCCTCAAGCAAAACAATGATGACGATGGCCGTCGCACAGCAATGCCATAAGTCGAAAAACAGTGCCGTTAGTGCCCAAAGAAACTTATACGGTATTATAGGAAATGAAACTGTTTTTCCGGATTTAAATCGCGTATATTTGTTTTTTTTTTCGAACAAACCGACGTTTCGGGCCCTTTACAGGTCCCATGGTCATGGTTGACTTTGAAAAAACAAATGTACGCGATTTAAATCCGGAAAAATAGTTTCATTTCCTATGTGTAACAATCGCGAAAACCTAAGAACTTTATGCGGTATTTTTTTGAATGTCTAAAAGATATTTTTTGTATTTGCTTTTAAACGTATGCACTGATTGATTATACAGTTATAAAGTCCTAAAAATTCCTTCCTGACGGTCAGGCTGAAAGCAGCAAAGACCAAAAATAGGATAGGGGAAAATATTGAGGCTACTGAAAAAGCGTCAACCTGACGAGTCTCGGGAAGTGCGCAGGCGCAATGAGCCCCTTGCGGCCCAGCTTGCCGCAGCAAGCGAGGTACTGGCGGTATAGTTCCGCTGCCTCGCACGGGCTGTTGTCGCTCGCTGGCAAAGGCTCGTAAGTCGAACGGAGCCACGCTTGCGCGAAGTGCTCGTTCTCCTGTAAAGCAATAGGATATTCGACTCCTTACTTTTTACTACTTCAATTAAAGCTTATGAACAGCGGACAGGGAGCGAGCGTAAATGAAATTGACAATATTGTCTGATTTCAATTTTTTTAGTCTATTATTTTATTATTATTGTTCAATAGATGCAAAGTCGTCGTACGTAATCATAGTTATAATTTTTTTTTAAATTTATTTATTTTTTTTTTATTTATTGAATTGATATTCAATTATTTTTGTGAGATTACAAGGTTTGTTATAATTATTAATACACAGATCGAACACTTAAGACAAAATTCCTTCGACCCGGCCGGATTCGAACCGAGACGTCTTCTATCAAAACATGCCAGACGCTATGCCAACTAAACCACGGAATGAACTAGCAGACCTCACGAATTCTTCAATGTGCTTGTTGTTGGATCTTTGTATTTGGTTTTCAGCGACTTTTTAGCCGTAGCGCCATCTATGAGAAATCTATGAAAGTATTTCGTCACCCAGTTACCTTTACAGCTACCAGCCCTGGCTAGAGATGTCGCTATTAACTTTACTTCATTTTTTATTGAATAACTATTCATTTATTTTTTGTAAGTGTACTCCACTTGTTTGTTATAATTATTAATACAAAGATCGAAGACTTAGAAAAAAATCCTTCGATACGGCCGGATTTATTTAATGTTATTAGAATCATTTCAACAGATAGAATTATTAATATTCGATGTTTATCGTGACGGCGGTGTTATTAAATTTGGTTATGTTATAAAAACAAAGAGTCAACAAGGCCAGGCTGCAAATCAGTACGGCGTGTCACACAGCCACAAGGATTAAACTGAGCTGTTCCTTCCATGCACTGTAGTTGTTCCACTAGTATTGTTATATGCTCTAATTCGTATTATTTTTTTAGTTTGGTAAACAAATAGTTTAAATGAACATGCTGAGAACGAATTTGTGATATTTTTATTTCCATTCAATAAGACGACATATTTTTACTATCATGATATTCACGTATTTTTTAGGAAACCAGATTTAGTTTTATTTTTTATCTTGTAAACTCTACACTGTTATATACAATATATTGTATTACAACAACCGTTACAAAGAGTAATAAATGTTACATTTCAACAAATTACAAATATCCAGTACAAGTTTTGTACTATGTAATTTTAGCATAGTTAATGCAGTTATGTGAAATAATGTAGGCACATATAAAATAATATAATAATAATCATGTCAAAATAATTCTTGTAAGTTCATGTAATTTATCCATTTCTGTAAAATAATATTTTTACCTAATAATGTAACAAATTGTCCCTACATTAGAAACTGCTGTGGGTTTCTTGCCCCAAAATATGTAATCAAATTTTAAAATGTTGAAATAGTAACCCCAGGATTTTTTTAATGTATTTACTAACACATTATGGGTCTGGTTACTTGAATAAAAATATATTTGAATTTGAATTACTTCACTAGTTGTTATTATTATTAATACAAATATCGAACAAACACAAGAAAAATTTCTACGATTCGGCTGAACTCGAATCAGCGACTTCGCAAAAACCGGGGCTATCGCTCTCTCAACTGAGCTACGGAACAAATCAGCACACCTTACTATTTCTCTATGTGCTTGATAAGATCTTTGATTTTGGACTCAAACGGCGTCTTTTGCCTCCACGAACGATCAGGTACCTGCACAGTTCTCTGTTGCAAATGCGACTGTTGTATATTGGTCATCGGTGAAGGCGCGGAGACGACCGGCGTCGCAGCTGACGTTGTGGGCGCAGGCGGCGCCTCCACTACCACCTTTTGAGGTGTTTGAGGCTGGAAAGTATACGTTGTCTTATTTATTGCTTTCATAATCGTAATATAATTGACGCTATTTCATAGTACCTAAACTTTTTTGACATACGAAAGGTACAATTTTTAGGAAGCCGAAAAAATAAATTAAAAAAACGACGTAGAAAGCGTTTGGCTGATGCCAAATATTTATAAATTGTATTTTATATAAATATAAACCAAATATGATAAAGTCGTGGTAGCCTAATGGTTTGACCGCCTCTCAATCAGAAGCCGTGGGTTCGAATACAGACACGCACCTCATGTGTGACATTTAATTTTAAATTTACCATGAGCTTTTCAGAAGGTTCGCAACCCTTGGAAAACGCATTGGGTTATCGCGGCATACTATGGCCTAAACCCTCACCCGGGAGGAGTCCGGTACCCAGCAGTGTGACGTATAAATAGGTTGAGAAAGCAGTAATGTCCAAAAGTTTTGCTTCATGACGTTAGGTTAGGAGACTTTAAGTTTTACTACTAACACTGCATTCCAAGGCTCTTAAAAACTTGCTTGCCTCACCTGGGAATCGAACCGACCTAATGTGAAAAAATCGTTGTTGGTCACAGTAATATTCTGTACCTGCTGCTGCTGCGGCTGTTGCTGCTGCTGGTGCTGGTGCTGCTGCGGCTGTTGCTGGTGCTGCTGGCTGCCGGTGTGCGAGTCACGTTCTGCGGCAGCGGCGATGGCGCTGGGCCCGCTCACCGTCTCCACCACTCGCATAAGTATACAGGCGCGCGGGCCGTAGCTCTGCGCCTGCGCACCACACTTGCTTAAGCGGAGTTACTTAAGTGGAGAGGAGAGTTTAACAGCCATAGAATATCTTTATTTTTGCGCTGGTCAAATTGACATTGGCAAAATAATTCAATTCTATTGGTTGTTTAAACACAAATCCTTCTTTGTTTCAACAAAAGACCATGTACGAAATAAACTTTAAAAAATTGTTTGATTTGTGTACTTTATTTCTTATAGCCTATTTATTATCTATATTGAATTATTCATATGAATGACAACATATAAATTATTACAAGTAATATGAGTGCACTTTGTAACAGGAGAAACGCTCGAACCATCGATATATTTTTTTTACATATAATACAATATAATATGTACAGACGGCAGCACAACAAGCTACCTACACATTAACGGATCTTGTTCCGTTGCACTAGAGGGGATATTCGAACACAAGTGTTTAACTCGATGTTCTGTTGACTGTTATGTACATACGTACATATTATAATTAATATAATATTACAAATATATAATACATTTTATATCCCATACATACATAATTTCAGATTCAGAAAGAAGATGTCCATAATATTAACCCTAGAAATAAGTCCAAACTCATGGTACCACGATTTCGGTTAACTAAGGTTCAACGATTCTTTTATAGGGAACTATATTCGTTTTTACAACAAGATTCCAGAGCATATATGATCATTTCATAAGTTTAAAATCTACATTAGACATATTTTAATAGAAAAGTCATATTGCAAAATTAAAGACTACATATTAGATAAAAATGTATGGCAAGACGACAGGACTCTAGATTCCACACACATTTCATTTAAAAAGAGCAATCCCTAGAGTTTCTTGCTCTTTCTTCTCAGGGAGGTCAGCACAGTGAACGAGCAGTAGCTTAAAAATGACGTTTTCAGGTGTAAATTAATTTTACCTTTGGAATAAATGATTATTTTACTTTGAAAAAAAAAATACTAATGAAAGAAAATAGCTAACAGATCAAAGGGTGCTGTAATATCAAAGGCTGCAGGACATTTTAGACCGTAAACCTGTGAGTACACGTCTCAATGATTATGTCCTTACTATTGGATCCAAACCGATGTCATACTTCAAACAATAATTCTAAAAAAATACTACATACCTCAACGGTAACGAGGGACACCAGTGTATGAACTAAGCCGGGCACCCTAGCGACGGCCTCACTCGCACGATCGCCCAACGACGTCAGAGCGTACACGCATTCCAACGTGCACACCAACAACATTATATCTCGTAGTGTTAGCAAGGCGCATACGTCACTATACACCTGTGTGAATAATAACAATAATTATGTCAACTAAATACAGTAGTTAATAAACTACAAGGACATTTCGACCCCTCCTACGTAAAGTATCGCATGTCGAAATTGTCAAGTTTACAGGGGAGCCTTTTCAAGTTCTGAATTCACTGAAATGAGCGTAACACTTGACCATAATTTCTCAGTTTTATTTGGCAAAGCTCGTGCTTAGACGGAGTATTATAAAATCCTAAATTTCTTAGATGATCATTCTATGTGAGTGACGAGTTTTGCCGAATAAAACTGAGAAATGCTAAAGTCACGTGTTATGCTCATTTCAGTGAATTCAAAACTTTAAAACGTTCCACTGTAAACTTGGCAATTTCGACATACGATACTTTACGTAGGAGGGGTCGATTTAACCGAATCGTTCGATTAGATATTATTCTCGAATCGAAGGGCGCTTGCCGAGCTATTCAGAACATTCGAGTTAAAACTGTCGATTCGGATTTGGATAGCCATCGCGAAATCGTGTTTCCGTTAAAATGCTCTATGGAGGCAACAATACGATTCAATATTACATGAACAAATATTTCAATCGTCGCCTCGCCCATCCTCGTCAATCGCGACCTTTTCCACCGTAGATACGCAAGAATTGAAATTTTGCCAAGCAAATTTAAATTCTCGTCTCGCCTCGTCGATGGAAAACCACCTTAAGACACTGTAGAGAGAAATACCAGCATCTGAATCTTTTGGCTCTTATGTCTGCACCACAAGACGATTTTTGGAATTTCGTTTAAAATTTATTTATTTTATGCAAAAGTATAATTTTGCATGTGTTTACGTACTTTAGCTTCCAAAGCCCTGAGTAAGGCGTCTTCGTTGGCCTCGTTCTGGGCCAGCTTGTTAAGAAGTTCCAAAGCAGCCAAGACGCGCGCGCGGTCCGGCGAGACCAGGGCCGACTGGATGGTCGACAGCACGTGCCGGGAGATGAGGCAAGTTGCTGGGTCCTGGAAATGGAACTCAATAGTAAACCCTTATACAGATTTTACGTATTCAATGTAATATAATCATCATAGTTATCGTCAATAATCATGTACATCATTATAGCACATCATCGTTTAAACAAATTCATTTACAACGACAATTTACAGTCCACTTTGTTAATACACTTACAAGCTATCTATCCTACTATTAGTACAAAATTTACAGAATAAAAATAAACAAAATAGAATGAATGAATGAAATTATTACATGATACCTGCTAAGTTCACCGAGCTTCCTGGGAGACGTGCAGTTCGGTGAACCTAGCAAACAGATCGGAGTCCCACCTATCCCCTATCATTTCAAGAACTCTGTTTAAGCTCTCTCGCAACCTGCGTAGGCAGAATACCACCTTTTCTCGTATTAGTGCGTAAAAATCCTCTAGAGTCGGCAAACATGCTCCACGCACTGCAGTAGCGAGGAAGCCCAAACAGAGCCCTGAACACATTATTATATAGGATATGCGTAGGAAGTTGTAGGCTTTCTGAGTAAAACTGACTAAAAGTGTTTTATATTTAAAAAGTTATTAATGTCGTTTTACTCATTAGGTAACGAAGGTTTTCGATTTCTCTTATATTTACGGAATAATCGCCTGCGCACACTTAACAAATACACCCTGTATACTTGCGGGGAATAGAACTCTCATCGGAACTCTTATTTGAGAAGCAACCGTTTTCCCACTGGACACCGCTCTTACTTAAAATACATCTATTGAAATATATTCTTTGGTTGCTTGGTTTGGTTCCTCACTGGTAATTCTTAATGTTGTTTGGGGAAAAAAGCTACATAAAGTCGCCTATTGTACATTAGGTTATTCGTCATAAATTAACATTTATTTTCTGTTATTGTTAATTATAAATAGAATAAAAATATTTCATTAATTCATTCATTCCTTCGTTCGTTCATTCATTTTTACTTTCCGTTTATCTATACAATTTTTTTGTCGTCGGTGCAACAGTGTAAGAAAGAAATATTAAATTGTAGTAAATAATACCTTGATAATGAGCTCTGTCGATATATTTCCAAGAGTATCGAGTCCTGACTGCCTCAACGATCCCACCCAACAGTTTGCGCACAGCAACAGAAATCTGCAACAAAAATAACATGTGTTTTTTGAACAACAATTTTCCTGGAACAATATTTAAAATAGAAATTTACTATTTGTTAAATCAAAACCCAAATAAATTTACAAATTACTGGACGAAATGTGAGGACAATCGAAATAAGACAATAGCAATAGAGCTGCCTCCAAGCAGTAATGTGACCCTTAAAACTTTATGCCTCTGAGTAACGGACACAGTGCCAGCGTCTCACACGTCTTTGCGATTTTAAGCTCTGAGTGTACTGCAATTTTTATGGACAGGCGTATATGCTCACCACCAAGCGCACGACACTGTGACTCTGTACTTATTTTATTACTGTGAACTTCTACACAACCACAAATAAATTAATTATGAATTATTCATTAATTGTACTTGATATAATTTTTTACAATAAATATAATTTGGTAAACGGCGTTTTAATCTAGTAAAACAATGCTATCAACTTTCATAGAAATTTTCAGGCCGCTTCTTTTGCTTTCTAGGTTTCGTTAGTTGAAAGGGCGCTTATGACAAAAACTCAAAACCGAAACAAATATTTAAAAAATCTACTGTTTTCTTGCGGTAACTTAATTCATACCTTATCAACATAGGAAAAAATAAAAATAGTTACAAAACGGCCTTTTTTACTGATAACGGCAGTAAGTATACATAACATTTGTTTTTTAAATGTCACATGCGCCCTTTTAACTACCGGCAGCAGTTAACTTCGCACTGTTACCTCTACTATGATGCAGGCTTTGGTTACTTTCAAAGCAAAGTTCTGCTAGTAATTGGATGTAGTGTCGTCCAGCGGATTTATGCATATTTTTATTTTTGTTCTTTATTCATTTATTTATTTATATATATATATATATATATATTATAATTTTTCACTATTTATTGTTATTATGTGTGCAGTTCATCCTTATCTATACTTTATCTATACTTCATGTATTTTGAAATGAAATATTTTATGTGGATTTGGTACCATTATGACAATGTAATCATAGCTTTAAGTTTAAATTGTATATAATGAGTTCTTAGGTTTTCGCGATTGTTATACATAGGAGTGAAACTTCAACACACCACGGTTGACAGTCAACCGTGACCATGGGACCTGTAAAGGGCCCGAAACGTCGGTTTGTTTGAAAAAACAAATATACGCGATTTAAATCCGGAAAAATAGTTTCATTCCTATTTAAATTGTATACTTTAGTCATTTTACTGGAGCTTGTCGAGACACGTCAGAATTATTATATTATTACTATTACAGAATTAAATGTACCGTTTCACCAAAAAGGTAAAGTCTGAAAAACAGCTCAAGCTGAGACTCTTGCCTTTTTATCTACATGTGTAACTTCAGATTATGTTATTTAAGGCTAAATTATTATTTAATGTAGATAAATAAAGCTCTTATTATTATTATTATTACTATAGTCATCGAGTATGTAACCAGAAGTAGAGACGAAATGTCATTTAGTTTGTTTGAGAACTATTCTGCCATATCATTACAATGACAACTGCGCTCCGATGGGCCAGCCCGAATTCGAAACAATTGACGGGTGTCGTCAATCGTTTCACTTCAAAACGACCAGTTTAACTTGATCTATAATGGACCATAATTGAAAAATTACTTATTTCATTACCAATGAAATGTGATTCCCTTTGTTTTGTAATTAGATGTTTTGCTATTTTTCCTATACCACCGAATGAAATAGCCCCCATAGTTAAAGATGTTATCTTTATCACAATAAATAGAGAATATTATTTTAATATACGGAGACGTACACACAGGTCAGTTGTTGGCGCTGTACTATTTCAGCTTTCTAATTTGTGAGTTCAGTGCAAACGAGAGTTGATATTTAAATGTGATATAAAACGCATTTGCCTGATGAGTTGCAAGGGATGGACGGCCCTTATTTCGTCTCTTTTTCTGGTTACATACTCGATGACTGTAGTTAACTCATGAGAAGTTAATTATGGCGTTGATCCGATTTTGAACTATAGAATATTTGTGAATTTATACAAGTAGCGCAATACGCGCGGCGCGTAGGGTTGTTCCATTATTGTTATAGATGTACCTATAGCTTGTAAGCAAAATTTGAAAAAAATGAAGGTGTTCATCACATTAAATAATTCTTTTTATAAATGCAGTAGGTACTTATGTACTGATATCTTTATATAATCGCTGATACTATACTATACTATACTATGCAATACTATATTCCTATACTATACTATACTATACTATGCTATACTATACTATACTATACTATATTCCACACGCAAAATAGGCGCCTCGACGTCGAGTTGCGGAAACCAGCCCGTTGCACCAATACCAATCATCGCTGATTGGTGTCTCGATTTTTTATGATAAAAGTGACGGGACGAACAAGTCGTAGGCCTGATGGTAAGCGACACGCCTGTCTATAACAGTTGCATTGCCACTCAGAGCTTTAAAACGCAAAGATCTGAAGGGTACTGCCCCTGAGACAAGTGGACAAGTCCCTTGGAGAGATGCTGATAGAGTGTCTGTGTGTGTATAAGGGCTCTTCGCGAAGGTTCAGTAAAAGAAATACAAAGGATAGCACAGCTCTACTGCTACTAAAATCGATTATGGGAGTGTGATTATGAAATAAAAATTAAATGCTGAACAATACTGAATTTGAGGCACGTTTGTTCAAAACTACCACGAACACAACAATAAATACGTCTACCAATTGATGTCATTTTTTATACATCAACAGCTTTGGGACGACCAGCGCTATGGAACGCGATTGCACCGCGAGATTAAGTGAATGTGTGTGTCCGTACACGGCGAGCATGCACATATACAAGCAGCGTTGCTACGTTTGTACGAAGTTACCATACTCGTTTGATTATACTATGATTATAATCTGAACAAAAGTGATGTAAAACCGGATTTGGGTCGTATTTAACGGTCACATACCTTATTAACGTAGTATTTTTAGCCAAATATTGCACGTTTTCATCATGGAACGACAGCGATCGCACGATGGAGGCAATTTGCAACACTCTTTGAGTAAAGACGCAAGTCGCGCCTCCAGGTAGCTCCGGGGCGAAAAGCTGGTTTTCTTCTGACGGTTCAGTGACCCAGTCTTCTGGAGTTTCAGTCTGCAATTTAATATCTCAATTTGGAAACGTATTCTCGTATATAAATAACGTTAAATCAAATGGCATGCTATTTGTTGTACACTCTGTGCCCTAAGATACCTGACCCCCTAAACTATATTAAACGACCTTTTGGTACTGAGCACAAAAGTGTGGAGAAAAGTGTTAAACAAACTTAATCTTTAATCTGTGTGCCGTAAAATGCATTTTCGCATGACTTCCTGTTGGCATCATTAGCGAATGACGTTTTAAGAATCTTTTTAAGCCAATTTGATCTTTAACGTATAGTTCTTACTTAAATACAGAATACAAATTTCAACCTGCTAAGCTAAGGTTACCGTGGTCTAGCGGTATAGGACTTGCTTTGCAAATATAGGTTCATGGTTCAAATCTTGTTCGAATCTTGATCGACATGAAAAATAATAATATTTCATTTTTTTATCTCTGTATAGACCTCAGAACAATAAGTATAGATGTAAGAAATTTCTTAGAACGCTATTTTCTCGATGAGAGTCAACACAAATAATTTTTTTTAATATGAATTTTTCAACGAAAGATGTTCCACTTTAAATTGTTAATATTATTGACATAAAGCACAATGTTCGTTCACTAATCGATTCCTTCGGTGCGGAGAAATATGCGATCATCGCTTTATAGTTGCCTGAGATGGGTAGATAATAATTAATAATGCGTAGGGTGGGTAAGTATAGATTAAACGAATCATGAAATCGCTCTGCAGTTTGCATACGATCGTGTCCTCTGTGATTGACGCATTGTGTTCCACGTATCCTAATTATCTTTTCTGTTTTTAATTGATTCCAAAGTTTTCTTTCCTTTTTTAATATGCCGCACTTAACTGAACTATTGAAATTAGAAATCGTTGTTCTGTATGAACAAGATGTGCCAATAAAGGAAATTGCGAGGCGCCTCCATATAGCGGTAAGTATTATTATTTATATTTGTCACAGTGGCTTCAATTTTTCGAAAAGGTGGTCCTTTTCCTTCCCCTTCTCATGCCATGGATTTAACGAATTATTAGATTTAAAAAATATAAATCTACAAATATAATCTAAATTCGAAACAAAATTATGACGGCTTAATATACGGTGTTATAAATTGTTTGTTCTCAGAGAAATACTGTCAAGCTATGGATCAAGCGCCATAGAGAGACTGGGTGTGTCCATCGTAACCAGCCGGGCCCAACACCGGTGATGTTTACGTTTGCATCCAGCCGTCATCGAGGGGTTGTCAGTAGACATATTGAAGATCCCTTTGCTACTACGCGATCAACTGCTCAAGTTCATGAGATATCAACAAAAACTGTAAGAAAACACTTACATGCTGCAGGTTTTAAAACATACAGGCCAGCTAGAAAAATAGAATTAAGACCCGCCTATCGCCAAGATCGAGTTCGTTTCGCACGAGAGTATTTAGACTTCGACTGGCAAGATAATGTTGTAGTTTTTACCGATGAAAAAGCTTTTAAGTCAGACAAAGACGGTCGCAAAATTTTATGGAGACGACGAGGAGGACGTTATAACGAAGTGAACGTTTTACCAAACAGATCAAGTGGAAGAATAACGTTAGGGTATTGGGGATGGATGTCATCCATGGGTCCCGGGGAACTGTTTGAAGTGGGTGGTCGTTTTAATAGTCACACATATGTCGAACTATTGCGTGATGTAATGTTGCACAGTGCGCATTGCTTATCCTGACTCTCACATATATTTCGTGCAAGATAACTGTACTGTCAATCGCGTCAGGGTAGTGAGTGATTGGTTTGCATCACAAAACAATATTTCAATTATTAATTGGCCATCTAAGAGTCCAGACTTGAACCCAATTGAAAATTTATGGGGGCAAATGATTTTAAACTGGGACTCATCTAATGTTAGATCTAAAACAAACTTAGAGGAGCTTGTTGTGTCTACATGGGAGTCAATGCGTGGTGGAGATTTATGCTGGTCGATGGTCGCAGGCATGAGAGACCGTTTACAACAAGTGATCGATTCCGAAGGCGCCCCTTTACGGTATTAAAATTATAATGGTTAAATAAGTAAATACTTTTTGTGTAAATGTGTGTTACGAGAATAGTTATTAAATTATAAAGCCAACACTAGGAAAAAAAAGCTATACGAAATGTGAGTGATGTTATTGTTAATAATTTAACATGTAATTCACTGCACTACTGTATAATTTTGAAAAATACAGCCTGTAAAGCTACTACAATTAATAATAAAATTAGTTTTTCTAATATTTTGTCAATATAGACTTTGTTCTACTATATTATCTTACTTGAACCTGTCTGATAATAATAAGTTAGATAGATCTAATTGTTAAAATTGTATAACACTGTAGTCAGATTAAAAAATGTATGTATAGCAGTTGCTGATACAGGCTGTAGGTAGATTTTTTACTTTTTTACTAATTATAATTTACTTCTTTACTAATTATAATTTAATCAATTATAATTTAACAGCTACTTCTTTACTAATTATAATTTATCACAATAAAATAAAGTGTTTGTTCAATTACCAACGAAATTATTTTTTTTGCTTCATTCACCCAATGTCTGTTGACTCTCATCGAAAAAATAACGTTCTAAGACATTCTTTACATCTTTACTTATTGTTCTGAGGTCTATATACAGAGATAAAAAAAAATATTATTATTTTTCATGTCGATCAAGATTCGAACCATGAACCTATATTTGCAAAGCAAGTCCTATACCGCTAGACCACGGTAACCTTAGCTTAGCAGGTTGAAATTTGTATTCTGTATTTAAGTAAGAACGATACGTTAAAGATCAAATTGGCTTAAAAAGATTCTTAAAACGTCATTCGCTAATGATGCCAACAGGAAGTCATGCGAAAATGCATTTTACGGCACACAGATTAAAGATTAAGTTTGTTTAACACTTTTCTCCACACTTTTGTGCTCAGTACCAAAAGGTCGTTTAATATAGTTTAGGGGGTCAAGTATCTTAGGGCACAGAGTGTACCTGTGATTAAATTAGGGACCTTCCATGAGTACCAATACAATATATAGGATGTAAATATGAGATGGGGCAGCAAGGCCAGCCACCTTATTAGTTTTAGTTACAGGAAAACGGTTCTAGAAGACTATCCATGAATTTTGAAGATATTTTGATTGGTATTCACAGATTTTGGAAAAATGGCACAGTCAGCAAGATAAAAGGCAATTTTTACAAAACTTTTTTCTTTTATGCCATTCGATCCGGTTTCTGTTAAGGATCAATAGTCTCTATGGGACCAACTGAGGTAAGAGTACTCGAAATGTTAGAAATCGCAAAAAACTTTTTACCATACATTTTGTAGGGACATATTTAGTAATCAGTTATTCTAGGTAGTTAAGGAAACTAACAAATTGACAACGCATTATGTATTAGTTAAATGAAATTTATAAAAAAAATACAACGGTGTTCAAGAATTGAAAGACGCACTTGCAGCAATTTTCAATGGAATCCATCCGAGTAAAATTTCAGCCGCTAATTTGCTCTTTGCTGAAGAGAGCGAATCGATGCATCCGCCAAGGAGGCAATAACTTCTATCACTTACTATCATACATTTTTTATGCTATTTTGATTTTCGTTATTGTTTTTATTTTGAAATACATAATACGTTGTCAAGTTGTTAGTTTCCTTATTGTTAATTCCTTAACTTAAAATAACTGATTACAAAATATGTCCTACTAAGCGTATGGTAAAAAGTTATTTGCGATTTCTGACATTTCGAGTACTCTTACTTCAGTTAGTTCCATAGAGACTATTGATCCTTAACAGAGACCGGATCGAATGGCATAAAAAAAAAGTTTTGTAAAAACTGTCTTTTACCTTGCTGACTGTACCGTTTTTCCAAAATCTGTGAATGCCAATCAAAATATCTTCAAAATTCATGGATAGTCTTCTAGAACCGTTTTCCTGCAACTACAACGATGAAGGTGTCCTTGTTGCCCTGTCTCAAATTTACAGCCTGTATATAGAACATCTAGACACAAATCGAGGCTATCTTTATGTAATGTATTAAACGTTAAGCGAGACCTCCAACCCCCGCGTGTGATTACACGAAAGATTGGTTGAAACACCTGCATGCTGGCTGATCAAGAGTTCCATGAGGCAGTGGTCTCCTTCTGTGAAGCGGTGATGCTCCAGACGGAAGTCGCCGAACGTGATCGGGAGAGAGCCGATCCCGCTCAGAGACGGTTTACCTTCGCGGCTGCGGGCGATCGGAGCGAGGGCACCGTTCGCCAGTAAGACTGGCAGCCGCGATGAAGATGGCCGGGTGGTATGGCCCGCTTCATCATGAGGAGGGGGAGGATGTAACTCTTTAAAGTCGATCCCGGATCGTGAGGTTTTAACCGGTAGAAGTCCGTCTTATAACCTAGGACGATTTTCCACGAAAGAAAAGGTATTGCCTTACCGGCAACAATATCATTGACCTCATCACTTCCCAGTTTTCAAGTAAATTAAAATTCCATTAATCTAATCAAATCTAATGGAACGATCGTATTGCTTAACCTACTTTAAAAGGTGATAATTGATATTGATTAGGTGTAATATTTTAAGTGGAAGTTATTTATTCTCTTCACATGACATCATAGATAACAAAAGCTACATTCAACTTACTTCAATAGGCAATATCTTCTCAACAACATCTTCGGCACCAACGTCCTGCATCAAACAGTCCGTAAGCGTATTATGAGCAGCTAAAGCTTGCACTATTAACTCTGGTTGCTCCACTCCCGGTTGCATGAACTTAGTTTCGTCGGCTAATTCCTTAGCACCTCCACCGCCAGCTCTCATTTGCCAGAACTCATCGGGATATCTTCCGCGTGCTTCGAAGTACGATCGGCCAATTGTATCGCGGAGACTTGCTGTTGGCAATAAATCTTCACTTAATTCGTGTTCGATTATTGACATCAAAAAAGCAATATTTATTTTATTGACTATCACTGTTACCATTATTAATACAAGGATCGACCTACAAGAAAAATTCCTTCGATGTGACAGGCCTTGAACCTGTGTCCAACGTCCAACTGGGCTACAGAACGAATTAGCAGACCTTTATTTTTGGTTTTAACGGCTTTTTTGCCGTAGCGCCATCTGTGAGAAATCTATAAAAGTTTTTCGTCTCTAAACCAGGTACCATTACAGCTACTAGACATTGACAAAAAATGTCGCTTTATAAATTGTAATCTTAGATGGTGCTGAAGAGTCAGTAGGTTGGCGGTAGTGGTTTCAGATGCAAGTTGGTGCTGTCCAAAGCATGCCACCGCATTTGAAAAAAAATCATCATCAATCATCTGAATTATCTATAGAAACTACACTACATAATTATATATAATTTTTATTCCTTGTTATTTTTTGTGTTTAAGTTAATATAAAAAATACATGTTTTTAATTATATTTTGGGGTGGTGGGTGTTGAAATTTTTTTATCTTGTCTAAGTGGGCGGTGGTAATATTATAATGTTTTACTGCTACGATATTGATTTATTTTTTATAAAATTACTAAGTGTTCAATCTTTGTATTAATAATCATAACAAACCACAGGCTTAACTTAGTCGGTTCCTGAGGTAGCTGCGCGGTGCGGAACGAGTGACAGTTTACGTAACAGTTATGTCAATGTTATGTAAGTAATGTTATCAAGATTTTTCTGACGATATTCAATAACAAGTTGATTGAAAAAAGGGTCTCTGCGTTGCCGGCCTTTGAGAGCCTTGTTTATTCGCTTATTGAAGCGGTTATTAAAAAATACACACATGTGAAAACAGAACTGACATTTGTTGAAAACCGAAAACAGTTATAAGCATTCAGAAATCAGGAAATAAAATATAAGAGGCAACACTTGTTTATGACGCCATAACCTTACAAATAATTATTTTGCCAAAAGAAAAGGACAGAACATTCCCCCACCACCTTTAACCATTAGTGTTAGCTAATAAGTTCGTACGAATTGATGAAACTTATAAATAATTTAGAATTCTATACGCTACTAAAAAAGAAAGAAAGTAAATGTGGTACAAATAGTCTCAAAACTTACAATGATTATAAACACCAGCATGTGCAAGTAAAAAGTCCAGTATATGTGGAGTGGTGGACAACGGGAGCCGGTTGGAATGGTCGGCTGCCAGAACGGTGCATACGTTGACGGAGAAGTCTTGTTCGTTGGGCATAGGTGAGAGGAGAGAGAGGGCCAAGCGTTCCGATGGACCAGCTACACGAGACCCTGTACGGAGAGCTTCACCCGATGCTGTGAATATGTGGAAGTTTTTATTTCAATATTTATCAATAATTTCCTCTTACTCTTCTCCGACTTGAAAAAAGAAGGAGACTTCAAATCGACTGTATTTTTTTGTGTGTAATATACGTGATTACTCCAATATTATTAAACCAATTTCGATGTTATTTTTTGTTGGAAAGGTGGTACCTCTGAAGTGGTCTCATTTAAATTTGAAAAAAATATTCCAACTCCCCTAATGGGTGGCAAATCAGGAGATGAATTTCATCACACAAAATTTTGAAGTCGGTTTTTCAGGAAACATTTAAGGTGGGTTTTTCAGAAACACAACCCCTAGTACAACACAACCCCCACCAAGTTTCTTGCCCATTCTTCTCAAGGGAATCTGTCTTACAAATGAGCAGTAGAGTTTAATCAGTATGACGAGATTTCAAGTGTAATTTGCTAACCAATGAAATAAATATTATTTGACATTATAACGTCGATTCTTTCCCTTTTTATTAAAAAAAGGTATAAGCATTTTTAAATATTTTCATTTGTGTACAATGTAGTAATCAAAACTAGTTTTTCCAATATCATCTGGAATATTTACTAGAAATCCAGTTTAGATACATACAATTAATCTCTATATGGTACTGTACAAAAAAGAAATTAAATGAAAAATTAATAAATCATAGAACAGAAAAAAATGGTTAAATAAAAAAATATAAAACAATCACAAGTTTTATAAAGTAAGAAATAAAAAAAAGAAAAGAACTAAAACTGAACATATACCTGTTTTACCTGATATGTAAGAGCCCCCACTAAAAGTGATCCTGGGCATACCTCCCCCTCGACCTCTTCTAGGGTCCTCATCCATGTCATTGTCGTCATCTCGTCCAGGAGGGCCCTTGGCTCTTTCATATCTGGATAAATTTAATCATTGACGGTAACAATGGAAAATTCCAATGTCGACGTTTTACATCCATGTTTGCATTGTTAGAAGAAATTGTTCTATAAAATTCTGCAACATGGTTAGGGTCAAATTTAACTCCCAGCCTTTAATATAAAAAATAACTTGTAGTCATTTCTACACCTAATTAAGAATTTCTAATCCATGAAATGCGCACAGTTTACAAAAATTGCTTTCAGTTGTTTTTTCACCTGAATTCGTGATGTCTGTTGTTATATTTGAAAGATAATAAGACTTTATTATTTACGTAATTGAATTACTGTCTCTGTGTTCTCATGTAAGTAAATTACTTGTAATTCTTAGTGACAATGGATGTCCTGAACCATACTTATCATTCACCATTCAAAGCATTTCTAAGCATTAGGTATTTTAGTAGCAGTAGAGCTCCTATTGAGAGTTCGTCCTGGGAAGTACAGCCACCTTACCTATTTCTGCCACCTAGCAGTAATGTCAGCAATATCAGAATGTGTTCTGGTTTTGAAGGGTAAAGAGTGTTGGTTAAATTACAGGCATATGGGACTGGTCAACTTATGTCTTTGCGATTTACAGCTCTGAGTGGCACTGCAGCTATTATGGAATGTAGCTTACCATCTGGCACTACTTTTTCATCCCGTCACTTAATATTGTATAAAAAAAATCTTCATATGTTTCTATTGCGTTGTGACTATGACGCGCTATCATAAAACAACACACTATATTTGACAGATTTTATAGACAAACTCAGTTATTTGGTATTTAGTGTAAGATTTAAGTAGCACACCTCAGTGAAGGCGTTTCAGTCTAATCAGAGTCAATTTTGGTGTACATTCAATGCATCACTTTGCACCCTCTTTATTAATCAGGGTTTCCGTAGTGCAGGGCTATGTAGAGTGTGTGCATTAAAAATTACTAAAATGACTAATCAATAATATAATTAAGAACGAGTTATATTATAAATAGTGTGTTATGTTTGTGTATAACAAATAACCTAATAAACATACTGACTTTTCCAAATACATTCCATAAATCTTCCGGAGCAATGTAGATCCATTGACACAAGGATGTGGTAGTCGAAGTGGGCGCAAAAATGAGTCCCAATGGTCATTTTGATTAACCTAAAAATAAAATAATCACAGTGTATTTTGAATTGATTATACCGTGCGTTAACATAAAACAATAGTTCAAATGACACATCATTTCTCAATGGCCTTTTAGTGGCAGGAGTAGGTTTTGCTCCCAAAAACCTGATCTAATATACCAAAAGTGACCAAAGTCATTGTCTAATTAACACAACAGATCTACTACCAATGGCTATGCCACTGAGCTGCAAGGGCCATGAATCAATCAACTTTTTTACCATGACTCAGCTGGCCCGAAATTTTTAAACAAAATTTTTAAATTAGCAAACATTTTCATAATTTGAAATGAAAGTATTTCTTTCATTGATTGACTGTCAGTCAGTCATGAACATGGGACCTATAAAGAACCGAAAACGTTTGGAAAAAGAAATATACAATTTAAATCTGAAAAGATGGGTAACATTTGCAAAAACTCAAAAGCTCGATATTTTCATAATTAATTTAAAAAATCATCTACTTGTCCATAGTGTAAAAACATACTCCTAAAAATTATGAATATATCCATTTCTATAACAAATTTATATAAAAAAAAATACATAATTTTTGTGGGATTAGTCGCCAGACACAAAACTTCATTAATAGTATTCCATAATAAAATTGTGTACATTTTCTTGTAGATTGTGATCATACTAAAAAATATTTGATTAAGCATGCAAGAGCTAACAAAAAATTATCAAAAAAATTCTTTTTCATAAAGTTCTGGGGGGCTACCACAACCTCTTGAAACAATATTACTTTAACGTTACATTGACTTTTCGTACCATAACGCGCTTAAAGCAAGCTTATTGTGATGTTAAAACTATGATGTTTTATTGGCAGCTTTGTTCATATTCATTCACTCAGTTCGTACTATAACACGACTTTAACATTAAAGTAATATTGCTCTTATGTCAAATTTAGCAATCTTAAAATAGTTACACGGATGCAAAAGAAACAATATTATTTTCAGTTTTATTGTCTTAATATTGATTTGTAATGATTAAGTTAGGTTGAACTTATTTATTTCCATATATCTCTTTAATATTTTGTTTATTTTTTATATAATAGCACATAGGAAATAATTTCTCGTTAAGTAAAAATACGCCATGTTTATTTCGTAAAATTATGACAGCGCCATTTTAGCGCCAGCGCTCCTTGGCGAAACTAACAGTTGACACTAGACTACAATTCCGAATTCACAACGTGACTATCAAGATTCAGCTTGTTTTATTTGTTTTTCTTCATGAAAATGCGGAATAATTTATGAAAATAACATAATTTTAATAGATTTTATTATTACATACTTTTCTTTTTTAACAGTAAAAGTTATATGAATGTAAATAACATTAAATACTTAAACATTATACTACAATAAGACGATTTGGAACATCAAGAAATAAAGAGATAGCATTATATAGTTCACATAGCTTTATCTCTTTCCTATTTTTAGTAAGGAATAGACAATATTGGGAAATCTTTCGTTCTTTCAATCACTTTTGCAATAATACATTACATGGTTGACAGGTTGGTCATGGTACGAACATGAGTAATATTATAATAAGCTTACTTTAAGCTTACATTGAAACAAGATTGTTTTTGGAAAGGTTATGGTAGGCCCCCTGGTAATAGAATTGAAACATGGACAACAAAAAGTTATATTTTCAAAAAGAAATCATTTATAGTAAAGCCCACAGTGCAAATTGTAAGGTCACCAAGGATGTCAAATTTGTAATTGTAAATTGAGAATAATTTATAACATATCAACAATTGATTCATTATAAATGATTATCACTAGTAACAGGTTTCTTACCACGGTATAATGATTCATTATAGTTTGGAAAAATATTTTTTTTATAATCTTATTTTTAATAAGGCTTGTAACACTTGGGTGTCAATCCCTGTGGATTATATTATTCTACTATATCGTGTCGCCTTGTAGTGAGAGACAAGACGTCACATATGAGTATAGAGTTTTAGCCCTCTTCGCCAACGGTTCACGCAACACGACATTTAACTCCCCAACCTACCAAATATCCCCTAATTGAAATTGGCTTCTCAGAGCCACATAATGGCCACATTCCATTAAATGTAGCATATCTTCAAGTTTGTTACAGAATTTACATAGTGGAAATTCCGCTCTTTTTATTAGACGGTAGAACTTATTTAAGGCAAGGTGGCCAGTATGTAGTCTAAAAGCCAAGCCCAATGCATTTCTAGAAAGTGTACTGTCCACAAACCAGAGCTTTCGCAATGGATGCAGTTGAACAGTGTTGTATCGAATCCCTTTCACTGCAGAATAAATGTTTTATTTGTGATTCCAATTTTTGTTTTTTATTTTTTATTTTGTTATATCAACAAGTAAAAAATTTACAGAAAAGAAACACAAAAAACTGTGAATAAAAACCATTAAAAGATTTATGTATTGCTGCCATCACATGCTATCAGGTGTCTAACAAAAGAATCAATATCTAATATTTGCAAATTACACTACAAGTATTAAACTTCACAATTTAATAAATGCATTGATTTAAGAATTGGTTAACATTTTCCTGGCTTACCTAGACGTTTATCAAGCACATCACTTGGAAATTTATTAAGAAGTAATGGTAAATTAAAAACTATAATAATTTTACACTGTTCAAATATTTTATAAAAATAATTGAGGAACACATACCTTACTAAGACCTCCTCGCTGCTGCACCAATGTGTAGAAATGGTACAAATCTATTTCCACCCCATTAACTGTTGGAGTCTTAAATGGTATGCTAAAATTTAAAAATACGACATAATTAGAAAAATAATATATTTAATATATCTGTTAATAAGATTTTTTTATATTTCTGTCAGAAAAATAAGATAACACGGTTTATGTTAGCCAACGACGATGATTTAATAAAGACTATGCCTAAATTAACCCATATCGTAACTACTATGTATACGAAAACGCGCCAAAGGAACATATACAAAACATAAACTATACACACTTTTTACTATCATTGAATTGCTTCAGGTCCTTCAAAAACGTTTCTTTATCCCTCTGATAGTTGCTAGATTTAGTATTTATTTGGGATTTGGCCATTTTTGAGCCGATAAATAACTGTGAACTAGAATCACAAGTATCTCACGCGTTAGTTGTTCTCGCGAGGCAAAAATTATACAGCTATAAGCAAATTAGCGGAAAAAGCACACTACATATCGTTACTTTCATAATTTAACTAGGAAATACAGAAAAGCGTTCAATTTAAGAAATAGGCTTGCGCTTCGGGTTTACGGAACTTTTGACAGTGACAGCCGACATCGACAGACGCTGCTTGACATCTTGAGAAAGCTTTTTTTTTTTTTTTTTTTAATTTATTTCTGGCCATGGAAATAAAGTCCTTCAGCCGAAAACATAATTAGAAACATAAAGAAATAAGTTTTTCTGTAAATATGGCCGCCACAAAGAGGGTAGGCAATTTGAGGCGGCGTGCTTGGATTGACTCGGGATTCCTTAGAACGGACCGATACGGGTATTTTAGTTCGAGATTCACATAATTTCGTGTTTTAATCTTCGATTAAGGCACAATAGCACTATCCTATTCCACTTTAAACTAGATTTCACAAAATAATTGAAAGTCAAATTAAAAACGACACTTTTCCCTCCAAAAGGTCCAGAGCGAACCTCTTGAGAAAGCCAGTCACTTAGATTATAAATATAATATAAAAAAAAAATCCGTGCGATTCCCAACATGTTTATAATAATAACATAACATTTTCCTATTCCAAGTGAGGTAATTACTTACTGTTGGGTAGTTTTCCGAATTTTAACTAAACTCTGAAATGAAATCAAAGTCCAAAAACGTAAACAAAGGTGATTATTACAAAAAAATATTTTACGAATGTTGGAACAGTGAAAAGGGTGAAAAATTAAAGCAAGATGTTTTTAAATTGTGTGCATGTATGTACAAAATATTATCAAATTATATTTTTTTATTTCAAACGCCATTTTTAATAAGATAATCTCAAAAAAGTATTTCCTGTGAAAGGATTTTTTATCCTATTGGCAATGTTTCGGGGATGAACAACCTTTAGCTGTCCTCTTTGTTTAGTCGATTTTTTTATTTTATTTGTTAAATATGTACTTAAATATGTACACGAATACTTTTAAGCAGAAGTGTGAATAATTTATTGCCATTATTTATAATACTATTACTTTAATACTTAAATGAAATATTTTTTATTACGAATATTAAAATTGAAATAATAAATTGGTTAATTTCTAAATAGTGTTAATTACAATGAATTAAAAAATAAAAAGTCAGTTTTTGTTCGATAGGAATGGTTATCCATTGGCAGACGTCTATCGTAAAAGAAATTAACGAAAATCCACTGTATTTAAAAAGATCAGCATTTAGTAATTTAACATGTGCATGAAGTATGTTAGTTTGTTTCTCACTTCTACTGATTTTATAACACTATTATTAATTTCAATACTTTTAGCTAATTTTACTAATTAATTGTGGATTTGTTTTTTTTACAGACTAGTATGCTGAAAAAATGTTACTCTTATTAATTCTTATTGCTATTAAGTATGACCTTATTTATATTTTCAGATAATAAAGCTTATAACTATGTATAGAAGATAAAATAAAAAATAACCAATAAAGGTTAAAAGTATATGAAGGTACTCATTGGCTCATACCCGCTATACTGTCCCTAAGGACGCGTTCCCACTATGTCGTCACGTTTTATTATCGTTGGACGACTGTCGTGTCTAGCCTGTTCCCATATCACGACTATTTGTCGTGGACGATTTTTTATCGTTGAACGACTGTCGTGACTAGCTGTTCCACTAGATCGTGACGACAATTTATCGTTACACGACAGCCTCCTTGCCCATCTCTGACTACGACCCAACGCTACTGCAAAGCGAGCAGAGGGTGCGGGGTACGAGAGGGGAGGGCAGGGAGCAGAATACGTGTGGACAGCGATAAATAAAACGTGACGACTATAGGAGCAGCGACAATCTGTCGTCACGTTTCTATCGTGACGTTTTTTTATCGTCTGACGACAGTCGTTCTAGCTATTTCCACTGTGACGGCAGTTTGCCGTTGCAACGTTAAAAAATCGTGAACGACAGTTAATCGTGTCGTGCTATATATGAACAACTTCATTTAAATATACAAGGCACGACAATGTAAACTGCACGACAATCTGTTGTCATGACTAGTGGGAACGCGCCCTAACCCAAAACGGTACAGTATATCGACGTCTTGCTTTCTCAAATAATATATCTTATGGAGAGTGACTATTCAGGAGTTGAAAAAACTTCCGAATTTTTACAATTTCTCATTAAGGTTGTTAATTTGAATGCATAACTTCAAAAATCGGTGAAAGCCAAATGTGGGTGAAAACGAAGAAAATATGATAATATGCAATTTTTGCATTTCAGTTACTTCGTGCTTAAGTTAGGTACGAGTTTGAGAAAATGATATGACAAGCGACGATAACGTTAATATTTGCATTGGAATGACAGCTGTCAAACATAACATTGAGATTCTCGCTAGGGGTAATAAAAATACAATTTATCAAGATTGTATGATAACTTCTAAAACATTACACGCTTTTTTCTTTGGGAAATAATGTAAAAATGAAAATGACCAATCAATGTTTGAAGAAACTCGATTAAAAGTATTTGAAGTTCAGCATCTACTATTTTTTTCACAATCTCCTGTTTTTTGAGTGCGATGTCTTCGGACTTTTTCAGATTTGACCTGGCAACACGGCTGTGCTGTCATCTCAACGTGTGATTTTTAAGGTTGTAAAGTTGTGTTTGAAACTAAAGTTGTATTTTTCGGTGATTATCAGCTTTGCTTTATACCGTGAAAATGGTGAAAAAGAAAATAGATAATCGTGTAAGGGTCATGATAGAGAATGGAGTCAAGCTGGGACACCGAACCATGTTTTTATTGGTCGGCGATAAAAGTAGAGATCAAGTAAGTTGTTTTCGCAATTTATTAATAATTTGGACATTTTATACTTATTAATATGGCCTAATTTCATTAAAACAAACATTCTATTTGCTTAGTGTAAACGGTTACAACTATATGCGCGGGAAATTCAATGAAATCTGTAATTCTTTAGGTGCCAATTCTTTACGACATGTTGGTGAAATCTACGGTGAAGGCTCGACCAACCGTATTGTGGTGCTACAAAAATAAAGACGAAGCCATTAGCAAGTAAGTTTTATTTGTTTTTCATTGATATTAAAAGTTTTGTAACTTTATTGGCTGTTGCAACTTTTGAAAACTATACCAAACTCTGTTTACCAAGTAAGGAATGTAAATGTACTAACGAATATGACTGTAGATGGCATTAAATAAAGAAATAATACACTGAATATAAAACAAGAACCCCAAATGTACAAAAATTTATTTAAGAATAAATAATTAAAGTATTGATTCAGTAATAAATGTATTTTACGTAGGCCTGCTCTCTTTGAAATTATTATTTTAAGCGCATTTCTGTTTTGATTTAATTTTATTCTAAATGTTAATTTTCCAGCAACCCAAATTAGTTAAACATTATAGATGTTTCATCTTGTGTGAAATAGAACACACATGAAAATGAAAAGTGTTACAAACCACAAAACGTTTATTGCCTGACTAAAACTCGCTTTACTAAATAATTAATTCTACAGTGGCCATGAGTATCTTTCTTAACAATTGTAATTTTGTTTTACTTGACTTCGTTGTATTTAGACAAGCAGTAGTTATACTACTTTATTTTATATTAATTATTATTGCTTGCGTTAGTGACAATCATATTGTCCCTTGACATTGTATTTTTAATTGTGACATTGATAATATGAAATAAATGATTCTATTATATTCAATTGTAATTTTGTTTTACTTGACTTCATTGTACTTCGACAGGCAGTAGTTATACTACTTTATTTTAAATTCATTATTGTGTAACCTGATTAGTGATGATCATATTATCTCTTGACATTGTATTTTTAATTGTAATATTGTGACATTGATAATGTGAAATAAATGATTCTTATATTCTAGTCATGTATGATAGAATTTACAACGTGAAATTAAAAATCTTTACAGGTATATTTACTTTGTGAATTCAACCATATCTGCAAGCATTTTCTATTCAATTAAGCTTAGAAGTTGATTATTGGATTTTTATTCAAAACATTGTTTGTATTATTTTTTCAGCCATGGAAGGAAAAGAGCAAAGAAAATAGCAGCCGGCAAATTAGAAGTATCAGAAGAATCTCTATTTGATGCATTCAGGGTAGCAACCACGATACATGGGCGGTATTACTCGGAGAGCTATGCCATGCTGGGACAGACTTATGGAGTTTGTGTTTTACAGGTGTGCATGAATACAGTGTACTTCATGGGAGTCACCATACTTATTAATACGGAATCGCATTAAGCCAAACTTAAAGGTGTACATTTATGAACACAAGAGCTGAAAATATGTTATGCATTTCGCATTGGTTCGTATGATGCACCTCATTTGGTAATCATTCAATGATTTAGTACAGGTTGGCAATGAATCTGCATCCTGCAGGTTTCCGATCGAGTGAGTACGCAATTTATTATGGCAACAACTCTGAAAGTCACAATTTCGTACCTCCTATCCGAGATAATGACTAAACGGTGGCGCCGACGCCCAAATGGACACGGTGACGCCCGAACGGCCTTAAGGTCTCATCAAATTGCAGCTCATTATTTACTTATGATAACAAAGAACTATGTAAATTTATTTATTGTCACACCTAAGTCTGAACCTTAATAATTTGTTAATTTTAAATATATTTTTCATAGGATTTTGAAGCTCTTACGCCTAACCTGATGGCCCGTACAGTCGAGACTGTGGAAGGGGGTGGATTAATCATCTTTCTGCTTAAGAGTATGGATTCATTACGACAGTTGCATTCAATCACTATGGACGTCCATTCGAGGTTTGGCTTATGTTTACTTTACACATCATCGAAGTTTTGTGAAAAGGGCCTAAACAACATACATTAACAAATGTTGTAAAATATTTACATCCTGTTTTAAAATTCAACTTGGGTTTTAATTAAATTTAAGTTTTAGCATTGATTAACTTGACGTAAATATTATAAAACAGTTGTTAAAACCTATAATATGCTCCCCAGAAAAATCTACGAAATGTCGCTTACGCCCTTGTCCATCTCCTAATGTTGTGAGCCGTAGTATCTCCCAAAAGTAGGGGTTCCCAATTGTTGTGATACTGATATACCCTAATTCTATTCTTTATATAGCATAAATTGTTCTACTCAATCTCTTTGTCGTTATTCATACTTTTTATCTGTTTTTTTTAATGACATCCTCAATCATGTGTATACCAAATTGAGACAACGTTAGTACTCTTGGCATATTCCAGAATTTTATGAACTAATTTCTCTTTTCTAGCACTGTTCTTAACACCGGTATTTCTTTCTGTCCAACTAGTTCCCTTCATTCTTCTCTAGCACCACATCTCAAATGCTTCCAATCACTCTCTTCCATTCTGAGTCACAATTAATTATATTTAAATATTTATTGTATCAAGATGTATTTCCTGGCCTCTTACAGACCAAGACGAGGCTATGGTCTTTAGTACACCATTTTACCTTTTTTTGTTATAACTATAAACCGGGGGATACTGACATGCAAAGAAAAGTATGTCCACAGCTGTCACTACATATAAATGTATTGGAAAGATCTTTGGTTGAAGAAAAGCATCTGGGTGGCTTTAGTCGTTTGCAAAAGTCAAGCATACTCAAAAGTGGAATTTGTAGGACACAATCATCCGAGTAATGACTAAGGAAGAAGAGAGTCATATTACTCTGTTTTCCAAACTGCAATAAATTATAGTACAGATTTGTTTCTGATTCAAAGACTGATGGCAACGGTTACAAAATATACAATTTTTTTATAATACCAAGTGACGGGACGAGCAAGTCGTGTCTGGTCGTAAGCGACATGCCTATCCCTAACAGTTGCAGGGTCGTATTCTAGAACTCTACTCAATGCTCAAGTCAGGATTGCACTGGCAATACAAGTACTGGAAATACAACCCTAATGGCAGGGACTTGAGTATGATTTCGAGTGCTTTAAACCACTCAAATCCTGACTTGAGCATTGAGTAGAGTTCTAAAATACGACCCCTAGTGTCATTCGGAGTTTTAAATTGCAAAGATCTTATTGGCACTGCCACTGCGCCCGTCACCCTGAGCTATAAGTTAATAAGGCCCATGTGCCTGTAGTTTCACCAGCGCCCTTACCCTTCTAAACCGTAACGCAGTACACACACACACTCAACATATCCCCGCACTAAGGAAAACCCTGTGTCGCGGGTGCCAAGGACACACACATAGACTATCACAAATTACACCCAAACTCACGAGACAAATAATTGTAGGCCATACAACTATTTCTCCCGGCCCGGGAATCGAACCTGGGACCTCTGCGTGGCAGTCCGGCATGGTAACCGTTCGGCCACGAAGGCAGTTAAAGACAGTAATGCTCACATTACTGCTTGGCGGCACAAATAGATATTAAAAACAAAGTTATTGTCCCAGGTTCAAAACAGAAGCTCACAATAACGTGGTGAACCGTTTCAACGAGCGGTTTCTATTATCACTGGCGGACAACGCCCGCTGCCTCGTATTGGACGATACATTGGCAGTACTACCGATCTCCTCCAAGACTGCTCAAGTTGAACCCGTTGATGCTGTGCCTGAGGTAATAATAAAGATTAAAGTCTCTTTTGGATAATGATGCTGGAACATGTTTCTTAAGGATGCGTACAGATCTGGTGAATATGCTGCAAACGCGCTGCAGTACGCTGCGCGTTACGGGAGCTAGTTTAATGTATAGTCCGAAGTCTTGTACAAGAAGAACCTCGAGTATTACTACAATGAAGCTTATATACTAATTAAAGTAACAGCAAATGTCTTAAACAAGCACATGACAACAATTGGACAGAGAGAGAATAGAGAATGTAGATTCTGTCACAAGGTGGATGAAACTCCTGTTCATCTACTCATTCACGAACGGCGTACGAAGTTCAATACTGGGCAGGCGCATGCCACAACCAGAGGACATTAAATCCGTCGGAGCCAGGAAAGTCCTGCAGTTCTTCAATGCTGTCGGCCTTTGCTCAGCACTGTAATTAGTGGTGATCACAATATATCAGTCAATGGTCGCAGTGATGAGCGGATGTATAGGCCCTGAATGAAGCCACCCTAATAATAATAATAACTACGAATGTGCTAAAAGTTGCAATTCTACAATTTAATAAATAAAGTTACGCAAGGTGCAAACTAACTAAGAGGATATTGAGGCAGCATCCTTAACTTACGTGCTGCACGCGTACTGTATGCGTGCATTTAAATACCCATATTATTATTATTATTTTTAGTGTTTTTATTATCTTGGGAACACCTTTATGGGTGATGTTAGATATAGTTTGTGCTTTTGTAATAATTTTTAGTACATTATAGCAACTAATTCAGGTTTATTTCTGCATACTAAAGAATATTGGAAGGGCAGGCCTTCCTAATACAGGTAGATAATACCTACTAGGAAGATCTAATCGTTAACTCTAAGTTTCGAGAAAAAGAAATAAGAACTATTTTCATTCATTTCCAAATACATGTTAATATAATTGTGGCGCGAGAGCACAGATCGCGATGCGTAATGCAGCACGTGTGCAGCTCGCGAGCCTTTCGCAAACAGGCGCAGTTGTCAGATCTGCACGCACCCTAAGAAGATGTTTTAAAGAAATAAATATTAGACAACATTACATACGTTGCTCAGGTCCTAAAGTAAGAACTAAAGCACTTTTGTTATGGAAATCGGAAACAACTATGGTACCACAACAAGATCCAGACTCAAGAGAATATTGAAAACTTAGTATCGAACCCGAAAGCTCAGAGATAGCACTGTGAAAACCAGTGCAATGCAAGCGTCTCGACCGCAGAGGTCATGAAATATATATGATATATATGTATATATATATATATATATATATTTTCTTTATTAATTATTTACCATATTCCAGTACAAGATACCTGTATAAAAGTTTATTACGTTTCTGTCTTATACTAGAATAAAATCAGTAGAGTTTAACCAATATGTCTATTTTAAGCGTAATTTGCTTAACTATGAAATAAAGATTTTTTTGACGAGGACTTTGAAAATTTATTTTTGTATTGTATTGTATTTTTACAAACATTCTTTAAAATAACTATTTTTTACTACAGAACTAATAAGATTGCCGCACATGCAAACTAAATTTTTGTTTAATTTCAGCGTATAAACCCTAAACTAACGGAACTAATACAGTCCCTGTCGGACTCTCCGCCAGCTGGGCCTTTAGTCGCTCTGTGCCGAACTTTCGACCAAGCCACTGCCTTAGTAGCGCTTATCAATACGCTCGCTGACAAGCAGTCCAGGTTAGTTTTTCTCATGTCTTATATCACGTCATTCGGACTCAATTTCATTAGCTGCGCATCACGTGATGACTCTCGTTCTACCAATCAGAGACGACGTTGTAGAAATGTTCCCATTTCCGTTTGTTTAAAACAAGAAAAATGGAAGTAAATTAATTTGTTCAATTGTTGGGCACAGATTCATTTGCATTGTCAATTTTTGTAAGTCCATACATACATACACTGCATCTGCAACTATGTCTATAAATTAAAGGAGGAGATATATTTTAAAGCTTTTAATTTTTATTTAAATACAAATAATCAAATCCGCCTGTTCTTATTCAAATGTATAACGTTAAAAACTCGTAATATTCACTATTCAGACATTTTTCGCAAGATTTTACCTTCTTTCACAATCTATCGATAAAACTGTTGACAACAGTTGCATGACTATTTCAAATTTTATGAAAACTGGCAATTCTGCGAATATCATTTCACTCCGTTTTCAAAAAAAGACAGACTATAAAAAAGTAATAATATTAAGTAGCGTACTAATCAACGAATATATTCATGTCTCAAAAATTGTCACAACGTATATATTACAAATTTGAAATATTTGTGTACACATAAGTGAAGTTACTGTAGTAGCCAGAATCAAAACACAGTATAAGCATTTGCTTGATATTTGGATTATTTAGAGCGATTACACACGTCGACTTTTAGCAACGATGCATTCGCGATGCGGTAGCAATGCAGTCACTAATTGTCTACCTTTACACACGTGCAATTTTAAGCAGCATCGCAAACCATGCATGCGCGCGACTTTATCGATACAAGCGAAGCAGAGTGTTGTGAAGTTGCCTGCTTATCGGTATTTTACAGGATATATCACGGAGAGTGTGCGATGGAATTACACGATTTAATTTCGCCTACCCCTTTCCTCATCTTTTCATCATCTAGGCGTAGGCTTGGAGTCCACCCTTATGTTGTGGATATTCCAAAAATTCGCACGAAGCGTTACGCTTCCACATTTATATGGCGAACGGCTATGGAGTGGAATTCCCTGCCTGCAGACTTGTTCCCTGAACGTTATAACTTGGACCTTTTCAAGGCGACCTTGAAAAGCTGAGACGTCACTTTCCATCACGTGAGATGGAGGTCAAATGCACACTTACATTTGAATAAAAAAAATCCAAACGCGCGATTCCAGCGTTACACTTGGAATTTATAGGCGATTGTATCGATGCATATCGATCGCAAATGCCTACAAATCGCAAGTGTAGCGATGCAATCACGCGTTTCACGAAAGCGCGTTTACATTGCTGCTAAGAGTCGCCGTGTGTAACCACTCTTAATTATTGCATTAGAAAATTCGGAATAAAATTAAATTTTGTTTGACTATTTAACTAATAAAACGCCTAAGATTTTCCGTATCAGTAAAGTTAATTATCCAGTAATTGCCATTTGACATACCTGGTAATGCACTAACTACTTTAAAACGTAGCAAGCGTCAAATACTTGCTACGTTTTGAATTGGTTAAAGTGTTTTAAAAGTTTCTTAGCTGGTCACAAACCAGACTAGATGTGCGTTACTAGATTTATAAAGTTTCGAAATCTCTGATAAATTGTAGAATTTTGAAGCGGCAGCCACTGCCCTTAAGTGAGAACTAACTATGGGAGTAGTATTCCGTTAAAAAAATATTTTCAAAAATGTATCCCTTGTTCTGACCGTATCTGTATGACCGTACAGTCACAAGCACCACCACCAAAAATATACCCTACACGTGTTTCGCCTCTCTACGGGGCAACCCTTTTTTTTATAACACCAAGTGACAAGACGTACAAGTCTGTGGGCCTGGTGGTAAGCGACACGCCTGTTCGTAACAGTTGCATCGCTACTCAGAGCTTTAAACCGCAAAGATCTGAGGCGCACTGCCACTGCGCCCGGCACCCTGAGGCATAAGTTGACAAGTTTCATGTTCCTGTAATTTCACTATCACGCTTACCCTTCAAAATCGAAACGTGCAATTGCTCACATTACCGTTTTGCGGTAGAAATAGGTAATAGGGCAGTACTTCCCTGGACTCAACTGAAGAGTTGATTGCTCGACGTTCGGCCGAAGAAATTTATTTTGCACGATTTAACCTACTTAGAGTAGCAAATTAATTTATTTCCGATTTAGTTAACTTGGATTTCCGCCTATATTATATATAAAAATTATAAAAGCGGAATCTATTATGTATAAATATCAACAGTCTCACTCAATAAAATTTACATACCATTACAGTTGCAATATAAAGTCAAGCGTTTTTGGAAAAAGAAATTTCGAATGTACTGTAAGTCACCATATCAACAGGCAGCAGTCGTAAGCGATAGATGACTTATATGGAAAAAAATAATCATATATCTTAATGCCGGTCATACACGCTACGGTATATCTGTGCAGTACGGTATGTCGGTCTACCTGTGCAAGCATACCTGTGCAGGTAGGCCGCTTGTCGTAACGTATGTGGGACTATCCTGTATTACGGTGAGGTCTTTAGTTAATTTCGATATGGCATCGATTGAAGACGATGACGATGCGATGATTCCTGTAGTACGATGCGAACGACGACTACGCTATACCGTAACTAGGAATCAAATGGCGTGACCTGCGCAGGCGACTATAGTACACGCACATATGCACAGGTTCACCGTACGGTATCACTCAAAAGAATATATTATCGATCTTGCGCCGATCGCTTACGCAGGTACACAAAACTGCACAGGTAGACCTCTTCGGTATATCGTAGCATGTATGGCCTGCATAATAATGCCAATAGCCGCAGTCAGTCTGTTAACAGCTCGAGCCGGAAAAAACGGGTTGTCTTTCGCTTACCTGTCATCTTGTGTGCAGATTGACTAACTTACTGTGTCTATTACAGACCACCCCACTGTCTTACAGCCGCCCGTGGTCGAGGTAAATCTGCCTGCCTCGGTCTCGCAGTTTCTGCTGCAGTCGCCCTGGGCTACGTTAACATATACGTAACTTCACCACACCCAGAAAACTTGATCACGTTGTTCGAGTTTGTGCTAAAAGGCCTCGACGCATGTCTCTATCAGGAACATATTGATTATAACATCGTGAGGTCGACAAACCCTGATTTCAAGAAGGCGATTGTCAGAATCAACATTGCTAGAAATTCGAGGCAGACTGTTCAGGTGAGCGAGTGATTTTTTTGTTTTTTTTTTGCACACTGGTAAACTCCGCATTAGGGAAGCCCTGTATCGCGGGTGGCATGGACACACAACTGGATAGACAACCACAAATTACACCTAAACGCACGAGATAAATAAACGTAGACCATATAAATATTTCTCGAATTCTCATATATCGAACCCGGGACTCCGGGTGGGAGACCAGCATGGTAACCGTTCGACCACGGAAACAGATATTATTATTTTTACTTAGGTATGTTACTTTAGTAAACTTGCAACGATTATTCGATTACTATTCAGTATTGGGCCGAATAAGCCACACTTAAAAACAGGAGAATGAAATAAATGTAACTTTTATTATGCTGAACAAACAGAAAGAGCAATTTGTCGCTTATTTATCAAAATGATCAAAGAAAATGTATTATTTTTCTAATAGATCAAAAAGGTAACATATCAAATGAAATCTATCTACTTATTATTAAGTAATTTACTCATTGCACTGTATTGTATAGTTTACTTTTGGGACTTGTCAACTTATGTCTCAGGGTGATAAGCGCAGTGGCAGTGCCCCTCAGATCTTTGTGATTTAAAGCTGAGTGGCACTGCAACTGTTATGGACAGTCGTACAGCTTACCAGGCGCACGACTTGTTCGTCTCGTCTAAAAAAACAATAAACCTTGTGAGCTTTGACATCAGCTGTAAAACATACAATCGTTCCATTTCTAGTATATAACCCCGGATGATCACTCACTCCTCGCAGCTGCAGATTTAGTTCTCGTAGACGAAGCAGCAGCTATACCTCTAGTTCACGTGGCAGCCTGCGCACAAAAAGCACCTTTAGCCTTGCTGTCTTCTACCGTGTCAGGGTACGAAGGCACAGGGCGCGCGTTGAGTTTGAAGTTATTCGCTCAATTGCAAACAGAACATAAAGCACCGCCTCCTGTAAGTATTGTACTTTCTCCTTTTATTAACAGAACTGTAATATTAAGGTTATTGAATATCATGATATTTTACTACTATGATATTTTATTGTTTTTTGTGAAATTACTCCACTAGTTTTGTCACGTCCGGCCTCCATGGATGACCTAGCGTCCAGCCTCCATGGACCTGACTGACAGACCACAAAGACGGACTAGACTGACAGGATTTCGAAATTAGACCGACTTTCTTTTGGACAAAGGACGACGAAGGCAGTGTGGACTAAACCTCAGACGCGAGCAGACAACTTCTCCTAACTGATTGTACAGACCAAGGGAGAAAAAAAATCAATGGAAGTGCCTTATGCATCGATTACCGTTGTCGCCAAAATTCACACATTCTTAATTTGAAACATTACAAAATCTTGATATTGATTGGTCGTAGTTTCAAATTTAAAAAGTAATAACAAATTCTAGATTGTGAATATAATTTACACTTTACCCTGTTGGCATATCGTTGATGTTTCAAGGCCATCAATACCTATTATTACAAGTTATGACGTTTTGATATTATATTGAAATTTCAATCAACGTGCTGCCATAAAGCGGCCGGTAGCTGGACTACGACGAACGATTAACACCTGAACGAATAGATAAACAGAAAATTAAAAATTTATTATAGTAAGATTTACCGATGATTTGAAATACTATTTCGGGTAATATATTTGGTGCAGCTGTCATTTTTGCACTCCAAAACAGTTTTCTATGATTTTAGAGAATTTGCGCGAACGAATGACACAACCATACCATACAAAGCGAAAATGTCGGACAGCTCAAGTACAACTTTCGAGACCTGTAGTTGGCACGCGTCACTCGCTAACTAATCACTTCTACTGTATTTATTGTTCTGTGAGGGAAACCCTGTATCGTATGGACACACACAAACAACCATAAATTACACCCAAACTCACGAGAGAAATAAATGTAGGCCATACAAATATTTTTAAATATTTTCGGGAATAGAATCCGCGACCTGTGCGTGGCAAACCAGCTTGGTAACCGTCCGGCGACGAAGGCAGTTTATAATATAATATAGGTTAAATTTGAAGTAATGTGTTTAATTTCTAGATAAAACTGGAAGAACCAATTCGTTACCGTGCCAACGATCCCGTAGAGGCATGGCTGAACTCGTTACTGTGCCTAGAAGCACCCCCTCCGTCTGTTGGGGTTGGAGCCCCACCCCCCGCGGCCTGCGACCTCTACCGGGTGAACAGGGATGCCCTGTTCTGTTACCACAAAGCTGCTGAAGCGTTCTTGCATAGATTGGTGTCTATCTATGTAGCAAGTCACTATAAGGTAATGTCGAAAATTTTAACTTAAGTATCTACAAAGCCGTGGTGTCCTAATGGTTCAAATTTTACAGCCCCTCAAGCATAGAAGAACGTCACATGTTTTGTGCGCCTGACGCTTTGTGAATAGCAAACGTACACTAGGGAACTTTTAAGTTTAATTTTTGAAAAATAAGCCAATTGTTCAATTTTTGAAAAATAAGCCA